TCAAGTAGGGTTCATAAATATCCCCAAAACTTACAAAAATACAATATCCAGCGACCTAAGATCGCCGAATACTCCAGCCAAGGTAAACAAAAATATATTTAACACATTTGCAACCGGCAAATTTTTTCCGTTTCAAATACTGAGTACCGGGGAAAATAATGAAATTCTGAAACTGGTTGCCGCAAACTTGTATCGTATCGTTAAAGGACGTGATCACGTCAGCGGCAATCAGGAATAGAATTTATAATGACGTCAATTCACGTCAGCGACAACCAGAAATAGAAATTAAAAAGACATAAATTCACGTCAGCGGTCGCAAATGTGTTAAGGGAACCCTTCTTTGGCACTGAAGAAAGCGTGCCATCATTAGGCTCATCTAAGGTTAATTGAACGTTTAGCGCACTATACCATCAAACTATCCCCCTCGAAATCTACCTAACTTAATTCCAAACAAAATGCTTCGACGCATCCATATCACGGTCCCAAACCTGGCATTTAAAATCCACATAGTCCAAATCCTCGGTCAAGTAGGGTTCATAAACATTCCCATGACATTGAAAAATCAGCGTACGATACCCAGCGATTCAAGATCGCCGCATAGCCAAATCGAGGTAAAACAAAAATATATTTAAGGGAACCCTTCTTTGGCACTGAAGAAAGCGTTCCATCGTTAGGCTCATCTAAGGTTAATTGTACGTTTGGTGCACTGTACCATCAAACTATCACCCACGAAATCTGCCTAACTTAATTTCCAAACAAAATGCTTCGACGCATCCATATCACGGTCCCAAACCTGGCATTTAAAATCCACATAGTCCAAATCCTCGGTCAAGTAGGGTTCATAAACATTCCCATGACATTGAAAAATCAGCGTACGATACCCAGCGATTCAAGATCGCCGCATAGCCAAATCGAGGTAAACCAAAAATATATTTAAGGGAACTCTTCTTTGGCACTGATGAAAGCGTTCCATCATTAGACTCATGTAAGGTTAATTGTACGTTTCGTGCACTGTACCATTAAACTATCACCCACGAAATCTGCCTAACTTAATTCCAAACAAAATGCTTCGACGCATCCATACCACTGTCCCAAACCTAGCATTTAAAATCCACATAATCCAAATTCTCGATCAAGTAGGGTTCATAAACATTCCCATAACATTGAAAAATCCGCGTACGACACCCAGCGATCCAAGATCGCCGCATACCCAAGCCAGAGTAAACAAAAATATATTTCCCGGAATCCTCGGTTGGCACCGAAGGAATCGTCCCTCGTGAGCGCAGGGATGCGGAATGGGGAAGGATCCAAAGGGTGTCGCTCGGTTTAGGCGCCGGGAGGAATATTCCGAGGTTTACTTATCATAGGCACATCAGCCGACACCCCATACATCAGCCGAGCTCCAATTCCGGAGTCCTCTGTACCCTGCAACCCTAACGCGCACGTTCTCCACAATGTTCAGATCCCGATGCAAGGCATCTAGACCCCCAACCATCTTTACAATCACTGGCCAACACCTCGCCCATGAACTTACATTCCGGTCTTCCAGCTGGTCCTGGGTTGCGGTTGGACGATTGGCGCGAAAGAATCCAAGAACTCCGGGTTTCCGGCCGATCGGGCAAATTCCTTAGGCAAATCTTCTCAGGGCACCGTCCAGTGGCGCGAATGCACAGAGTCCACTCGCGTGTCCACTCGGGTCGATATAGGTTATGTCGGGTCGCGTTAGGTCGTGTAGGGCTCCAGTGCCCACGCCGTGGTTAGGTCGTACGACCTTACCCGTTCTCCGGGAGCTTCGCCCACTGGGAGCTGATGGGACATCCGGCGCGCGACTCCCGGGAAGGACCTCGCGATAGCCGGTTATCGTCCGGCGTCGACGTAGAGGGGAGGAACCGTCCCCCCAGGGGGCGGACAACCCCGACCGAAGGCGTTCACTCGTTTCCTCTGTCACGCGCGCCCCGACCAGGCTGAGTCGAGACATCCGGTCATTACGCGGCGACGACGCGACGACCTCGCTGGCTCCCCAGCGAGTGAGCCTCGCTCCTGCCGCGCCAGCGCACTCACGCGGCCTCTCGCCGTACTAACGGGACTCGAAGAGCACCTCTACGAGAGACCGCCGTCGCCGCCCGCCACTTTGCGCCGACCCTGCGCGCCGTTCGCTGCGCCGCCCTGCGCGCTACGAGGGACGACCTGTCCCACCGACCGCTTTCCCGGCAACTGCGGCCACCACGACCAGCAGTCCCGGGGGTGGGCCGCGCAACTTACCGACGCACCGAGACACTTCCAAATTCCTGCGCCGCGGTGAGAGTAAAGTATGCTTCCAAGGATTATAAAGTCGATCCTGCGCTTCCCTAACCTCTGGGAAGACCTCTTCGTCGCGCTAATGCTCCGTTCGACGTGGGTCGATGTCTGAACCTGAGGTCATCCTGTCGGGAGAGGGGTCTTATTCAATCTTTCGATCGAATTACAGAAATTGTTCGGAAGTGCTCCCTTCGGATTGCGCCCTGAAAAACATCGATGGAACTTCACGTACATCTTTAGACCCTACGGAACTGAAGGTTTACATTAAAGAAGTCGTAAAGTGAAGAGATTGTCAGAAAATGTATTAATGCATGTGAGATTGTATGTATACTGCATTACTGGTATTTTACTTGAATTAAATGTAGGATTACGGTGTCATTTTTCGCGTGGCATGTAAGACCTTTACCGTGTATGTAAATCTACGGGTTACCTAGTAAATTTACATATTGATGCGGATTGAGATGATATGGAAAAGGCGCTAAGAAATCTAATCGACGTCGATAAATTAAAATTTGTCTATATCCTTTTTGATGGTAACATCATTTTCAATGCTCAAATGGTAACATTAGCTGGCGCCTCGCGTTACCGACATTTACATTTATGTTGAACTCTTTTACAGTCTATGTTGAGAATTATACGAACTGAAGCGTTACATATGTCATTGCAGTAAAGTAATGATGAAGATATCGATGTCAAACTGTCGAAATCCCGTGAATTCATTATTCTAACCACTGTTTAGAACCAACGTCGCCATCTGTCACGTTTAGCTAGAACTAAATTTTTTGCCCTAAAAACACGTGTTACCTACGGGACGAGAAAGCATTCTCTTTTAATCGTTAGTGAAAGTATTTTCCAGATTATCCCAACTGACTCGTACATACGTTCAGATGATCGAAATTCGTTTGAGGTTATCGTGGCCACGAAGCCTTATTAATAATATTTAATAACAAACGGGAACAAAAAGGATGGAAAAATACGAGTAGCATAGAGAGCCCTTCGAGATATTTCTAATCCATTTACTATTTCAGGAAATTAATCAGCAATGTTAATAGTAATGTTAAGTATTAGCGTTAATATGTTATATTTTACAGTACATTACAGTATGTTAAGTCACACTTAGCCATACAGATGGGCGTAATATACTTTGTGCTCACGTACCCACCAAACTCCGCTACGTAATAATAATAAAACCGGTACATAACCTTTGTAACATGTAACGTAATATATATATAATATAAAAGTAAGATTTGTATTACCATTTCCTCCGCAGCTATATGACACTGTTATGAAACGAATAACTTAACGTACACATTACATATCGGGAACATGTCATAGGTTATGTTAATATTATATAACTGCAATGCTAAGAAGTTTGTAATAATATTTCCGAGCGGTAATAATTCGACGTTATACGATATTAATGTATCTTTTGAATAACATTCGTGATATATCATGTTATTCCAGTGTTATGTAACTATGACATAATATGCTTGGTGGGTGTAAAACATGTTATAGGTTATGTTAATATTATATAACTGCAATGCTGAGAAGTTTGTAATAATGTTACCGAGCGGTAATAATTCGACTTTATACGATATTAATGTATCTTTTGAATATCATTCATTATATATCATGTTATTCCAGTGTCATATAAAATAATGTGCTTGGTGGGTACAAAAATAGAAACGTATTATACGTTGTAATATACACGTAGAAAACATATTATAGGTTATGTTAATATTATATAACTGCAATGCTGAGAAGTTTGTAATAATGTTACCGAGCGGTAATAATTCGACGTTATACGATATTAATGTATCTTTTGAATAACATTCATTATATATCACGTTATTCCAATGTTATATAACATAATGTGCTTGTTGGATAAAAAACTAGAAACGTATTATACATTGTAATATACACGTAGAAAACATGTTATAGGTTACGTTAATATGATATAACTGCAATGCTGAGACGTTTGTAATAATGTCACCGAACGGTAATAATTCGATGTTATATGATATTAATGTATCTTTTGAATAACATTCGTTATATATCATGTTGTTCCAGTGTCATATAACATAATGTGCTTGTTGGATAGAAAACTAGAAATGTATTATACGTTGCAATATGCACGTAAAAAACCATATATATTACGTGACGAAGAAAACGTAGGAAACTACGTATATTACATGATACTTTACTTACCCAATCCTGATGTCAATGCATGATAAACAACGAGCGGCTAGCAGTCCATACCTACATGGTTTGTTTGTTTTGCCTACACTTTCTACACTTTTGCGAAAAGTGTACCCTTTGGCGTTCGTTTTCACGGAAGTGACGCAGACGTCGCTGTTCGTTTTGCGAGGGCATCTACCCCGAGTGTACACTTTCTCTACACTTTCTACCCTCGATCCCGAGCGAGGGCAAGAAGGGTAGCCCGCGAATTTGGCGGCAAATTTAAAAATTGGAAAGACCAACAAACAGGAAAATACAAAGTTTGTCCCAAGATCACAAGATAATATAAATAGAAATAGAAGATAATATAAATAAAAAGAAAAGTGTAGTACCCTACTTACCATCGAGGGTAGAATCTGCAGTCAACGCGAACAAACCTAGTGTAAGCCGGGAATTCGGCGGCAAATTTGAAAATTGAAAAGACCAACAAACAGGAAAATACAAAGTTTACCCCAAGATCACAAGATAATAGAAATATAAATAGAAGATAATATAAATAAAAAGAAAAGTGTAGTACCCTACTTACCATCGAGGGTAGAATCTGCAGACTACGCGAACAAACCTGTAGTCAAAGCCGCGAAGGGGAGGACCTCGATGGACTTTGGCGACACTTGGAATTCGGATGACCGTCGGAGAGCGCGCGAATTAATCGGCGAGTGTAAACAAACCTTGGCGAGCGCGAGCCCCTGGTCTCGGAGCGCGTCGCTCGGCTCGGATCGGCTCGGACCGGCTCGGCAGAATGGGGAAGGTCGCGAAGACGCGCAGAGGCAACGGCAGCCGCGGCTCCGAGGCCGCCGAGGCCGGCCGGTGCCCCGATCAACCGAAGCCCAAGAAGAAGAAACGCAAGAAGGACCTCGAGGAACTCCGACGGAACGCCCTGGAAGCTCGACGGAAATTAGTGAGTACTTTTGAATTTTCATCTGCTCTGACGTTTCGATTCCAACTCGTGTCCCATTTGGGTTTTACAAACATAACGAGACGCGCAGATGACCTCCTATTCCGTTTTGATGTTATAATAGAGCTGTTTTAGACTATGGTTAATTGTATTGTGGAATACTTTCATGGTGGATTTATTTCAAAGGAATTTATGAAAGGTTCTTATTGAGGATTTATTCGGGATGGATTGGAATGTTTTGTGGTTATGTGCGGAAGGGCTGTTACATAACAAGACGCGAAGATGACTCTCTATTGCGTTTTGATTTTATAATAGAGCTGCTATAAGCTATGGTTAATTGTACTGCGGAATATTCTCACGGTGGATTTATTTCAAAGGAATTTATGAAAGGTTTAAGATGTACAAGCGGATTTTATTGCGGGTTTATTAGGGATGGATTGGAAAGTTTTGGGGTTATGTGCGGGAGGGCTGTTACTCGTAGGCTGATACATAACGACACGCGTAGATGGCTCTCTAATGCGTTTTGATTTTATAATAAAGCTGCTTTTAACTATGGTTAATTGTATCACGGAATATTTTCGCGGCGGATTTATTTCAAAGGAATTTATGAAAGATTTAAGGTGTACAAGCGGATTTTATTGAGGGTTTATTCGGTGTGGACTGAAATGTTTGGGGGTTATGTGCGGTAGAGCTGTTACATAACGAGACGCAAAGATGACTGTCTATTGCGTTTTGATTTTATAATAGAGCTGCTATAAAATATGGTTAATTGTACTGCGGGATATTTTCACGTTGGATTTTATTTCAAAGGAATTTATGAAAGATTTAAGGTGTACAAGCGGATTTTATTAAGGATTTATTCGGGGTGGAATGGAAAGTTTTGGGGTTATGTGCGAAAGGGCTGTTACATAACGAGACGCGTAGATGGCTCTCTATTGCGTTTTGATTTTATAATACAGCTGCTTTTAACTAAGGTTAATTGTATTGCGGGATATTTTCGCGTTGGATTTTATTTTAAAGGAATTTATGAAAGATTTAAGGTGTACAAGCGGATTTTATTAAGGATTTATTCGGGATGGATTGGAAAGTTTTGGGGTTATGTGCGGGAGGGCTGTTACTCGTAGGAACTCATGGTGAGCCGATCTTCGTGAGGTCACCTTAAGGCATGGCAGGACTTCTGAAAGACAGTATTGGCAGTCTCTATTAAATTTGATTAATGGTGACTCTGTTTATAAGAGATTTATTTGCAGACCGTCGTATTTTGAGGTTGATTTATTTGGAACTAATTTCTGATAGGTAGGAAGTAGGTGAAATGGTTTTGAAAATTTATACGGTGTTATTGAGGATTTGAGGTTATGTACGAGGGTTATGACGTCGCGTTCCGAAGGTCACTGTAGGACTCAGGACACGTAGATGATACTTCTGACAGTTTATGTTCAATTTTGGGAATAGATCAGCTCTGATTATGTGATTATTATTTGCAGCATGGATTATTTTAAACTTAATTCATTTGGAGTAGACATTTGACAGGTTGAAAATAGCGCGATTTTAATAGTAAATTAATGCGCAGTTAATAAGCAGTTATGTGATTTTTATTTGCAGAGTAGATTATTTTAAATTTAATTCATTCATACAAATTTAATTCATTAGACATTTGACAGGCTGAAAATAGCGCATTTTAATAATGAATTAATGAGCAGTTATGTGATTTTTATTTGCAGCGTAGATTATTTTAAATTCAATTCATTTGGAGTAGATATTTGACAGGTTGAAAATAGCGCATTTTAATAGTGAATTAATGCGCAATTAATGAGCAGTTATGTGATTTTTATTTGCAGCGTAAATTATTTTAAATTCAATTCATTTGGAGTAGACATTTGACAGGTTGAAAATAGCGCGATTTTAATAGTAAATTAATGCGCAGTTAATAAGCAGTTATGTGATTTTTATTTGCAGAGTAGATTATTTTAAATTCAATTCATTTGGAGTAGACATTTGACAGGTTGAAAATAGCGCATTTTAATAATGAATTAATGCGCAATTAACGAGCAGTTATGTGATTTTTATTTGCAGAGTAGATTATTTTAAATTTAATTCATTTGGAGCAAACATCAGACAGGTTGAAAATAGCACGTTTTTAATAGTGACTTAATGAGCAGTTATCCGTTGGCGAGAAATGTGATTATGTGCGAGAAAATTATGACACCAGCATTTTGGGACACTTGATGAAATTTCTATAATTCGTTAGGAACGAATCGGTGAAAGAAATTAATGTTGATTGACCCGAAGGTTCAATGGACTAATTAATAAATATTGAAACAGTCAAATAAGTAATAGCCGTTTTGTACATTCAAGGAGTATTAAAGTATATGAACAGTTGAGTATATAAACCAATGAAAGTTAATTTGCAAACTTCTATTTCTACGGTAAATCCTGCAATGTTTATTTCTACAAGTACTGCATTCTACTAATTCTCAAACTCTCGTTTCTAATAAGTCTGTTCACATTTTTTCGCATGTCCAAATTCCCATGGACCAGGTAAATTTACAAGCGGCTTGCATACGAATGAACGCATGCAGCGGTGCATATAATTGCAATGATGTTCGAAATAATGACGCAGCCACCGTCAACGTGTTGTCATCGATAATTGCAAATGCGTTGATTAATTAAAGTACCGCTTAATGAGCGAATACCGCACTCGCATCTCAGCGAAAATGAACTGAAGGACGGGAGATAAATCAATTAATAAGCGCAATTAACCTTTATGTCAATAACCGGAAATTGTTCCGTTGTTCAACAATCGTACCCATGGCAATAGATTCATCTCTCTTTTACGCTTCCGTCCCATTCTAAATACTTTCTATTATGCATCTGTTCACTTTTCAGATTGTTGTACTTGTACTTTCCCGGTAAAAGCATAATATGGTACGCGGTTAACATACAATCATACAGATAACTTTTGTGATAATTTGTTTTCTAAATGTGCTATTCATAAATCAATTAATAAGCGCAATTAACCTTTATGTCAATAACCGGAAATTGTTCCGTTGTTCAACAATCGTACCCATGGCAAAAGATTCATCTCTCTTTTATGCTTCCGTCCCATTCTAAATACTTTCTATTATGCATCTGTTCACTTTTCAGATTGTTATACCTGTACTTTCCCGGTAAAAGCATAATATGGTATGCGGTTATCATACAATCATACAGACAACTTTTGTTATAATTTGTTTTTTAAATGTGCGAATCAAAATAAATATTTGATTCCATGAAAACGTCAAAATGTAACGCAAGAAATAACTCACAAAGACGTTTGTTATTATCTATTTGGGGAATATGAAAAATTTTCATACACTGAGTGAGAGGAGCTGGTAAATAGGACAATTAGAATATGTTTTTTGTTAGAGAAACGCAATTAATTGTTTTATCTACTCATATTGGAAATACAATTTGGGCATGTTAAATGTACGACGATATATAATTACGTTAATAATAACAAAGTCGAATTTAAATACATAAATATGAAACATTTTTGTTATTTTTACTAGATAAGTACGGTAAACGCAAAATAGTTCATTTTTCTATGCCCAAAAAAGTAAAAATATATAGTAACCGTTACTGGGTTTCCCAGTTTGGGAAAAGAAAAAATGAGTTGTGCTGTAAAAGGTATCCGAGTTTTTTTTAGCTATGAAAATTAATAAAAATAGTTAACTTGACTAGATCTTTCTCTTAGTGTAGTAAGATGCAAAAAAATATCTGGTCAATGACATAAGGGATCGTAGGGCACATGAGTGCCGATCAAGTAATCGTATCGCTAATCGGTATTAACTGGAGAAATTACAATTTCTTTATAGTGAAACATGAGTGCCGATTTAATAATTGTATCCCTAATCGGCATTAACTGGAGAAATTACAATTAAAACATGAATGCCGACCTAGTAATATTATCGCTAATCGGCATTAACTGGAGAAATTACAATTTCTTTATAGCAAAACATGAATGCCGACCTAGTAATATTATCGCTAATCGGCATTAACTGGAGAAATTACAATTTCTTTATAGTGAAACATGAGAGCCGATTTAATAATTGTATCGCTAATCGGCATTAACTGGAAAAATTACAATTTCTTTATAGCAGAACATGAGTGCCGATCTAGTAATCTTATCGCCAATCGGCATTAACTGGATAAATTACAATTTCTTTATAGTAGTACATGAGTGCCTATCTAGTAATCGTACCGCTAATCGGCATTAACTGGAGAAATTACAATTTCTTTATAGCGAAACATGAGTGCCGATTTAATAATTGTATCGCTAATCGGCGTTAACTAGAGAAATTACAATTTCTTTATAAGCGGAACATGAGTGCCGATGAAGTAATCGTATCGCTAATCGGCATTAACTGGTGAAATGATAATTTCTTTATAGCGGATCATAAATGCCGATCTAGTCATTTTATCGTTAATCGGCATTAATGGATGAAATGATAATTTCTTTATAGCGGAAACGAGCGGCCCCGTTGAAGTCTCGAAAAAGCGGATTCACCAAAGCCTTGAGCAAGTTCGCTGATCAACGCCAAGAGAACGTAATTCTATTTCCACTTCATTTTTCAAATAACCTTGCCTCTTATTTGCCTTTGAGAAGAAATACAGAAATATTCATTATCTCACTTACAGGAGGAAAAGACTCAGGGAAAGACAAGAGGGAAGAGAGTAACGAAGAAATCAATATGCAGGAAGCTCCTTCCGGAACCGGTATGACTTTTTTCATTTTATGTTCTTGAACATTAATCGATCAGTAAATCTTCCGGGTCGGGATATGAAAGAGTCAGCCTATATATATATATACGAGAAGTCAAATCGTTAGTAAAAGTGTTCTCCCAATTGGGTGTACCGATTAGTTTGAAATTTTAACACGTTAATATGGAAACTCATGAAATTTCATTTTTTATACAAAATTTATTTACTTATTTAAATAATTTTAAATTCGTTTCCTCGTTGCCGCTTACGTGAATTCACGTCATTTTAAATTCTATTCCTGATTGCCGCTGACGTGAATTAACGTCCATAGCGATACACGATACAAGTTTGCGGCAACCAGTTTCAGAATTTCATTATTTTCCCCGGTACTCAGTATTTGAAACGGGAAAAATTTGCCGGTCGCGAATGTGTTAAGATTTATTAAAATACGTTTTATTATAAGTAATGTCAATTTAATGTTCTGTTGTAATGTTTATTCTTGGACAGACTGCGAAGCATTTGGTTGGCATTTACGAAAGGGGTGCTATGGGTGACGAGATTCGACTGCGTAAGTATTATTTTACATATGCAATTATGTTAAACAAAATAGGAACTAAATTGTATTCTTTCCCAGAGACTACAATATTGAGCCAGTCGAATAAGGCACGCCTTAACGATGACATCTTGAAGCTCATCAGTAAAGCTGATTCCGAGGACAAGTAAGTCCTCATAATTATATAAAACATACAATTCACTTTTTCTTTTTCAAAATATATGTATATTAATATGTGTTAAATACTCGTTGAAACTTGGACACGTATTACCTCATAAGTATGAAGTTATTCATCCTGTCCGAATGATGGAATCAATACTTAAACCAGACATTATAAAAATATAAAGTGTAAATAGTAGTCAAACAATGTCACTTGTTCCTGACAAGAGGTTTATTAGAAACTTACTTATCAGGAAATTCCAGATAATCAGTTTTTTTTATTAAGGTGAAGTGAAACACGTCAAGGTACTTGATCTTCTGCTTGAGCTTCTTGGAGTCTTAGAATCGAAAATGAAGAGTTTCAAGACCAAACTCGAATAATTTAGAATATAATAGAAATGGAATACTACAGAATCAGCTGGGAAAATATGGAAAATACTTTCACCAACGATTGGATAAGAGTACTGACTTGTCTCGGGGGTAACACGTGCTTTTAGAGCAAACATTTAGTTGCAGCTAAACGTCACAGATGGCGACATTGGTCCTAAACAGACGTTAGAATAATGAATTCACGGGATTTCGACAATTTTACATAAATCATAATTTTACCGAAATGACACATGGAACGCTTTAGTTCGTATAATTCTCAACGTAGACTGTAAAAGATCTCAAGATAGTTAGAAATATCGAGAACGGGACGCGCCAGCTTATGTTACCACTTTAATATTAAAAATGACGTTACCCTCAAAATAAGTATAGATGAATTATAATTTATCGACCTCGATTAAATTTCTCAGCGCCTTTCATATCATCTTAATGATATCTAATCATTCTCTTTAAAGTAGAACTTCACTTCCAACGTCCGTCGTGGCGCCTATTTTTTATTTAATTAACATCGGGTATTAAAGTTCTTTGTTGAATGAATTATAATAGTTTCTTTTGAAATCCCTTTAGGAAGTCCGTGGACGATGTCTTCGATGGAAAGAAGTCTTCCGAGGAGTGCGACCAAGTCGATGACCCACCACCCAGATTTCCGATTAACAAAGTCAGTCCTGTCTTCGGCCAAGCGATCAAGTGAGTCCTCCGATACCTCCCTAGTAGAATAGAATAATTTCTAAATATTTCTTTGTAATCTTTGCTAAATATCTCAAGCGACGGATTTTGTAAGATCCCTTGTAGATTTCATTCGAAGATATCTGAAATATTTGTTGTCACTCAATGACATATTCAGTTTCAATGATTTATAAACATACAGAGAAANTGGAGGTAATATTATATAAATATTATAGGGATAATATTCTAAAGTAAACGTTTTGCAAATATTTCAAATGTCTGGTAAATATTTAGAAAATGTACGATATTCGTTGAATATATAGAAAATGTAGGACAAATATTTTGTACTACTAGGGCTATTTCATTTGCATGAACGTGGCAAACCTTCTAATGCATGTCTATTGTCCTCTAGTAATTGGAAAAGTATCGCAGTTGATAAGAAACGGCAATCGGAGAGTCCATTAGCGTCGGATGTTCAGAAAAAGTTGCGGGAAACTATCCTACCGAAATCAAATGCGCGTGTCGATGTCCCGAAGGAAAACAAATGCAGAAGAAAACTCTTCGACGATGATGGAGATAAGTTTCCATCGTTGGATTCATCCGCTGTTGACGAAATTCGGTAATGATTACAATACATTTCAAGGGTACCATGTACCGCTAACAAGAGACTATTAAGGTGAAGTAAAATCCCATCAAATCAGTCGACTCGAATGAGACACTTTTTTTTTAAAGATATGAGATAGAATTGCTTGAAACTTTGACTTGTGAGTACCTAAGAATTTTCCTGACACTTTCAAAATTCGGATTTTTTAAATAATTTGTAACTCTGCCCAGACCAGAACCAAAATGACGTCGACTTCTCATTTTTCGATTGATATTCAATTATTGAAGGCTCTAATATGAGATATGAAAATGCCAGGACAATTGTACGACAATTTAGAACACTGTGGTATATGAGAAACTCGCATTTGAAAGGGATAAAGGCAAAAAAGGTGTCTTATGCGCTTCTATGCCAAAACGATGGTAATGCGAAGTCTCGGAGCGATCATTTAATTGCCACGGAAATCACAGAGGGCGCAGGGTGTCCCTCTGCAGTCAATTAGGGCCTCGGAAACCATGTATCCAGGGGATTTCTGGAGTTTTACTTCGATTTCTTTATAATTATTGTACGAAGACGACAGAGTATGCCATTTAGTACAATACTCAATATAATTCAACACGGCTGTCGATATAAAAACGACTGTCGGCAACATAAGTGTTTAGAAAAACCTATTTTATCGACGTCTGTCAAGTTCCTCGACGTGTTTCATTTCACCTTAAGATGAATGATTTACTTAACATTCAAGGATTGTGTCATACTTCGAATTGTGTATACGATTTGTTAATCGTGCAGTAAATAAATATCGGGAAATATTTACGTTTTTAATCCAGATTAACTTAGATGTTAACTTTTACCTACGGTTAAGTAATCAATGATTTAACCGAGGTTGATGAAACCGAGCACAACAGTTTCAGATGTACTTAGATCTAATGTACAGAATGAGCTTACTTGTGTTATGTCAAATAATTGTAGACTATTTTAAGACTCTTATTGTAAGATCGATTCGATCAATTCAATTGACTTCAGCATCCTCTTAAGTATTGACGGTAGGACATCAAAAGACAAAGCACAAATACAGGAAATTTAAATTATACTGCATATACAAAGTCGCAGTGAACGTATTATTTATTAGTCACATTTATAACATTGAATGGAATGAAAATTTTATTTAATACAGCCTGTCCTCCACGTGTAGCAGCTAGTACACGTATATCATCCTTAGAACTCCCATTTTGCATTTCAATTTTATAAAAATTAAACCAAAGAAACAAACGCGATTACATTACAATAATGAGATTTTAGAAAAAAGAAGTCACATACTCTGAGTTAATTAGGCAAGAAAATTAAATCGCGAGAGCTTGATTTTATAAAAACTCTGCTTCTGATGGTTTTATTATTGATAGCACTTCTGGTTCTTATGTACTGTTGTGTATGATGACCTTAGAGTTGATTAGAAGAGTCGAATGTTACTTATTATTGGTTGCTACACGTGGCTATTACCACAAGGCCTGGTTTCAATATTCGTGATTGATCAGAAAGTAAACAGAAAGATTCTTCCAGATTCTCCCCTGGTGTCTCTTCCGGGAGCGCGCTTGACACTATCACAGAGGAATCGCCGAATAATAGTACACACCTGGAAGAGCAAGATGATGAGAAAAAAAGAGGCCCAGAGTTCCAAAACATCGGATGGGCGCCTACGGTTCGATACGAAGATCTCTGTGCTACAATTTGCAAGGAGAACTTCGAGGACTGCCGCTATGACTTCCCACATTCAGGTAATTTGAATTCCACATTTTTATTCATATTATTAAGGTGATATGAAGCCTATGTATATATATATATGTATATCTGAGAGGGGAATTTGATGTATCGATTCGTTTCAAATGTTAACACGTGAACATAGAGGCCTTAAAGTAGGTTCTAAGACTCATGAAATTTCATTTTTCATCAAAAATGTATTTATCATGGACTAGAACCATCATGGCGTGGCCTGTGCACGTTTTCGATGTTTTACGCTTCTAGGAGAGTTTAGAATCGAAAACGAAGAGTTTCAGGACCTAGCACCATTGCCTATGGAATGATTTACATGAGAGAGAAAATCCGAAAATCCTAAAGAAGCACTTATCACACTAGGTATTTTTACCATTTCATCCGAAACATTATATCCACGTTTTTCTATTCCAGATCCGGTAAACAATGCCAAACGTGCCCTTCTAGGAGTTTATGCCGACTCCTATCGACACAATTTGCTGTGCAAAAAGTCCAGAACTGCGGCGAGGAACATTCAAGAGAAACCTTACGGAAGGTACGAATCATCAGATTGCGAGGAGGTCGACTTTGAGGTTCAAGCTTGCACTCGTGGGATCACCGACGAACTTGATGATGTCTGCACCTTGACGAGCTCCATGCTTCACACCACGGATGCAAAACGCTCGCCTGCCGGGAAAGCGAAGGAAAACGATTTGATGTCCTCGTTACGGGTGAACATCGACGAGGAACACACATTTGGTGAGAAGGCGTCGACGACTAGCGCCGATGTCGAGGAAGTCACTGATAGGCGAAAGCGAAAGAGGACGAGCAAGAACAAATTCAACAAATGTGCCTTTGTATACGATGGCTCGTGCGAAGGATCACCAGGAGTCGGGAGGAGCTTGGAGAACCTCGAGGCTGCCAGAGATGGTCATCTTTCCATGGAGCTTGATCCTCTAACTCTGCGGTTCCTGGACGACGTGAAGAAGAAGATGGACGACAACGAGAGGAAGTCGGTATTTCCTAAAGAGGTCTTGCCCTCTCCACCTCCGGAGAGAAACCCGACAAAGCGTTACTTGGGGGACCCCCTGCGCAGACATCTGGTGAACCATCAGGTACCGAGCAGCAGTCGCGCTAATGAGAAAGCGGAGCTTTTCATCGAAGAGGCCAGCTTGGATATGCACCGGCGACGCCGAATGCCGAAGAGCTTAGCTATGAAGTCCTCTAAAAGGCACCTCCCTGCGATACTTCGGCGAAGCGGGAACCGGGGATTCTCCAGAAAGGCGGCTGTCTCTGACCCGGTTGAACATTTCTTTAACGATGAACTGGAACACTCGGCCGCGTCCGTCAACGTCAACGAGGTGCGCGACGTTGATGTCGAACGGAATCAGATAACAAAGGAACGGGAAACTTCCTCGGTGAACCTGCAGACACCGAGCGTCATAAACGAGATATTTAGACGCAACAATCCTGCCCTGAAGTCCAAGGTATAAGGCTTAGAGCTGTAGGGACTTCGTACTCAAATTCTGGCTTTATCGCCAATTTATTAGCTTTTCCACTTTATTTAACTGACTACTTTAAGGGGATGTGAAAGCGGTATCCGAAAGCTAAATCGTTCATAAAACTTTTCATAGAACTGGGTGTCTCAAATCGTTTCTTACTTTAAAACGGGAATGGAGACCCTAAGGTAGGTCCTGAAACTCGCGAAATTTCACTTTTTGTAAACTATTTTTAAAATACCTATGAAGAAATTTGAAAAGAATTTAAATTTCATGAGTTTCAGGACCTTCCTTATAGTCTCCCTATTCACGGTTTAAAGTTTTAAACTATTCGGTAAACCGAATTGAGAGAACAGTTTTATAAACAAAACCTCTTCGACGCCACTTTCACATTACTTTAAGGTGATATGAAAGAGTCAGCCTATGTATATCTGAGAGGTTAAGTCATTGGTAAAAGTATTCTCTTAATTGGATGTACCGATTAGTTTGAAATTTCACCACGGGGATGTGGAGGCCCTGAAGTAGGTCCTGAATCTCATGAAATTTCATTTTTCGCCAGAAATGTATTTATTTATCATGAGCCAGAATCAACATGGCGTGGTACGTGAACGTTTTCAATGTTTTACGCCTCTTGGAGGCTTACAATCGAAAATGAAATGTTTCAGGACCTAGCTCGAACAATTTAGAATACCATAGAAATGCAATATTACAGACTACGATGAGGAAGTATGGAAAATACTTTCACCAACGATTGCAAGAGCTTGTCTCGGGGCTAACGCGTGTTTTTGGAGCATAAATTTAATTGCAGCTAAGCGTCACAGATGGCGACATTGGTCCTAAACAGTCGTTAGAATAATAAATTCACGGGATTCCGATAGTTTTACGTCGATCTTTTCGTCATTACTTCACTGAAATAAATATGGAACGCTTCAGCTCATATAATTCTCCACGTAGACTGTAAAAGACTTCAAGATAAACATAAATGTCGGAGACTTAGACTCAAAAATGAAGAGTTTGATATACATATATGACACTTTCATAACACTTTAACTCGGCGTTGAATTTTAAGGGATTTGGGATGATCATCTAACAAATTATCTCCTAAAGCATCATTGCAGAAGGCAATCATGCCAAAGAGAACATCAACGGGCATTTGTTAGATGATGTTCTGTTATAAATGAGAGTTATAGCTTCAGTTGGTTCCAACTCTTGCGAAGGAATAAGCAGAATGTGATTTTCTTGGAAATTTTAAAATCTCTTATCCTATTCGGTTTCATAATAGGGAAGTTATCGACCTCTTTATTAACAATAAATATTTACACCATCAGGTACACTTCATGAAGGCGAAATACAGAGTTAACACCAGGAGCGCCCACAACAGCGCCAATGCGCTGGAACTAATTAAGAAGATCCGCAGCGATCCAACCTCCGGTTTCCTCAACTTGCTAAATAGCCCATCCTCCAGGAATCGTTTCTCCAACTCTTCGGAAATTGAAGACATAAGATTGAACAATTTCCAGAACGACTCGAGGAACCTATTCAGTAGGAACAATTCGAACCGACAAAATCATTCGAGTAGAACTTCCTATGAATCCGGAGAATCGTCCGATCGAAGAAGCTCCAAAGAAAATTTTTCCATTGATTTTGGAAACGTCACCAATACGACACATCATAACGAACTATACAAACTGTTGACTAGAGATAAAGACAAACACCAGGATCGGGAATCATCACGACAGCCGAAAGAACCTGCAGCGCACGTCAGGTTTCAGGATCATGCCCCACAAAATCGCCCAAAGAACCCACGGAGATCTACAATGAATTACGTGCATCAACAGACCTTCCAAACTTCGCCTATTGAAAATATCCCAACCCCACAAATAGTACGAGACGCTGACTTGTCTAGGGAAAATGTGCTAATCCCAAATGGAGTGCACAAGAGCTATCAACGTGTTCCGGAGTCCAAGCCCTCTAGTATCTCAAATTTTCTGGAAAATGAGACTAAAGTCGATTTAGTTAGCGCCAAAAAGCCGCAGGTCCACGTGGTAACCTTCGAACCGAAGCAGGACGGACATCTTCAAGCTACCCGAAACCCAACCTATCAGCAGCAACATAATCAGCACCAACCCCAAAACAATCATCAAGTGCAACCCAATCTAAACCATCAGAATTTCATCCAATCTCATAGTTCTTATATGCCCCAACATTATAGAAACACGTGCTTGCAGCCACCTCACAGTTCCCACCAAAAAGGGCCTTCAGGTATGAGATTAGTAGACTACAATCAAGACCTTCAGGTGATATGAAAGAGTCAGCCTGTATATGTCTGAAAGGTCCCAATCGTTGGGGAAAGTATTATCCGAATTGAGTGCACCGATTAGTTTGAAATTTCACCACGGGAATGTGGAGGCCCTAACGTAGGTCCTGAAACTCATGAAACTTCATTTTTCATCAAAAATTCATTTATTTATCAGGAATTAGAACCGTCGTGGCGTGGCCTGTGCACGTTTCTGATGTTTTACGCTTCTTGGAGACTTTTATTCGAAAATGAAGAGTTTCAAGATCTAGCTAGAATAATTTAGAATATCGTAGAAATGGAATACTAGAGAGTCAGGTGGGAAAATATGGAAAATACTTTCACCAACGATTGCAAGAGAGTGCTGAAGGGTCCCGCAGGTAATGCGTGTTTTTAGAGCAAAAAAATTAGTTCTAGCTAAACGTCACAGATGGCGACGTTGGTACTAATAGTCGTCAGAATAATGAATTCACGGGATTTCGACAGTTTTATATCCATCTCTTCGTCAATACTTGACCGAAATGACATATAAAACGCTTCAGTTCGTATAATTTTCAACGTAGACTGTAAAAGACTTCAACATAAATATAAATGTCGGTAACGGGACGTGCCACCTTACGTTACCACTTGAGTATTCAAAATGACGTTACGACAAAATAGTGTATAAATGAATTTCAATTTATCGACCTCGATGAAATTTCTCGGCGCCTTTCATATCATCTTCTGTAGAACGAATTGGGAGTTCAGCGTGTTATCTCTGGTGATGTTTCCACAGGACACAATGCTACCGTGAAGGTGGAGGAGGAACAGAATGTGCGCAGGTATCCGGTCTACATAAGTGCTGGTGGTCGACATGGAGTAGGGCAAAATGTACAAACTAGGCGGATGAATGTGGATGAACATCAGGGTCCTAGTCACGGTCATGAACAACGTCATATGTTCGTCCAAGCTTCCCAACCCAAGGTAATCTTCGTGTCTAATCATGTAGCGCAATATGATGGCAGAATTATTCATAAGGAAGACCTCCAGGTACACAAGCAATTCGTGAACGTTACCGACATGCGTCATGAAGGTGCGAATGTCTCGGGAATCGCGTTCCAGACTTGCCAGGGGTCAACCTCTCATTATGGCCAGGCAACATCAGCGATATACGAGAACGAAGTTCATCAGGAACGGAACCTACCAGCTGGTGGTCAGTTTATTCCTCAAAATAGTGGTCAAAACCTTCGGTATACGGAGAACTTCTGCCAAGGTGTCCCTAATGAGGTAACCAACGCTGGAGGGAAGTCTGCGATGTTCCACGAAGGACCTCCAGGGAGGAAATTAGCTGATGATGTGACCCAATGGGTCAAGCAAAATTGTACCGTGGTACCGAAAGAGTTCCCCTTTGGGAGTGACGGGAATTGCTCGAGAACTGCTCAGGACTTGGGGAATCAATCACAAGGGCGAATGCAATATGTTGAAAGTATGCCTGACCAGGGTAACGCTTTCCCTATGAAGATTCAACTCGCTGATGGGCGCGTGGGTATCTTTATACCCAAAGGATGCGCCATTCAAAATGTTGCTCAGCAGCAAGCCTCGGAGAGTAAGTGCAACGTGATCATCCCCGAGAATGGTAGCACGGAGAAATTCGGATTCAGTGTCCCGTATCCACAGGCTGGATGCAATTGGAATCAGGTACGAGACTCGAATGTCGTAGTTTTATAATAAATTGAGGTGAGAATAATTAATTAATAAAACAGAGTAAATATATTGAGCAAGGCATCTTGATTCACTTATGAAAGAAATTCTTATGTAGATGCAATTGGAATCAGGTACGAGACTCGAATGTCGTAGTTTTATAATAAATTGAGGTGAGAATAATTAATTAATAAAACAGAGTAAACATATTGAGCAAGGCATCTTGATTCACTTATGAAAGAAATTCTTATGTAGATACAATTTAAATCAGGTACGAGACTCGAATGTCGTAGTTTTATAACATATTAATTTGTGAATAACTAATTAATAAAACAGTAAATATATTGAGGAAGGCATCTCGATTCACTTATGAAACAAATTCTTATTTAGATGCAATTGGAATCAGGTATGAGACTCGAATGTCGTAGTACACTTCTTCAGTTATATAATATGAATGTTACATATTTATAAATATTGTCATTCGTTTCATTTTGTATAACTGTTAGCGCATTAACGCGTATTAAAAGTTAAAGACTATGCATTGTTAATAATGAATTATATTTACGTATGAAGAAATCAATTCTTCAGTNTTGCCGCTGACGTGAATTCACGTCATTTTTAATTCTATTCCTGATTGCCCCTGACGTGAATTCACGTCCATAACGATACACGATAAAAATTTGCGGCAACCAGTTTCAGAGTTTCATTATTTTCGACGGTACTCAGTATTTGAAACGGAGAAAATTTGCCGGTCGCGAATGTGTTAAGGGGACGAAGAGTAATTTTAGTTCTAAGTGTGGCCAGATAAAAACGAAACCTCCATCAGAGCCGATGAAACAATGTGATTTGGAAATTTCATGTGGAGATTTTATAAATGCCGGTCAAAACTACATTTCTCGTATCTGTGCCGACGACGTTAACCCTATGAACACGGAGCCTTTTCGACGTATGGGCGAAATTCGTCTGACCGCGCAGGCAATATTGGACCAAATTGCCGCTGACGTGAATTCACGTCATTTTTAATTCTATTCCTAAAATGGCAGGCATTTTCAGTTTTTCAACGTTAAATTTGTAATTATTAAATCAGAAATTATCAGAATGATATATAATTTAGATTCGAAATTATAAGGTAGACATTATAAGAGTTTATTGGTTTAATTAAAAATCACAGAAATGTTGAAAAATGTTCGCGTAAAAGCTGTTTATAATTCGAGCAGTGGTTGAGAGTGAAAATTTATATAGTAATTTGCAATGTCGAAATTGTTATTTATGAATAACGTTTAAATGTTGAATTATTGAACTGAATTTACCTGGTGTATGTTTCATTTTCAGATGTACAACGGAGCTGACACGTATCAGTAACAACATTCTCGGTATATTATCCCCAATGGCTAATATTCGCCTAATATTTAAGCGCGAATTATGTATCATAAGTTAATAGTCGCTTGGAATCATGCAAATGTAATATTCGTATTAGGAATCGCACTTTCGTAGTAATAAGGAAAGGCCGGCGGAGGACGCCTGCGAAGTATATAATTTATTTCTTAAAATTTATTTCGTTACACATTTGTAAGAGATTAATTTGTCATTATACATTTCTGTAGAGTACCGAAAACCTCGGTAAGATACGGGAGTATATTATTAGTGAAATCGAAATTCTAATAAAATAATTCTGTTGAACGAAATCCCGAGGGAAGGGAATTTTCCTTTTTGTATCTGCGCTCGTTAAAAAGAAAACAGAAACTGATATTAAAACAATGCAATCGAGAATTTGTCACAAAGAAATGAGGAAACATTTACAAAAATGTATTGGACAAATTACATTTTTTTTTTTCTATTAGCACGTGGGTAATCTCGATTAAGTGAAACTGTTTCCTCGTCTTATCATTCAACGTTTCCTATGAGTTCCTGTTATCTGTTTCTTTCTCGGCTCACAATTGGACTGGAAATCAATTCATAAATTGATAAATCACTTAACAGTATTTAATAGAATCTCGAGTAAGAATTATTCCTATTAACCCTTAGTAGCACGAAATATTTGTCCTATATATTTTATTTATTATAGTGGAAAAATATGGAAAATACTGTCACAAACGATTGTAAGAGAATGCTGGCTCGTCACGGGGCTGACACGTGTCTTTAAAGCGAAAATTTAGTTGCAGCTAAACGTCACAGATGGCGACGTTCGTCCTAAAAAGTCGTCGGAATAATGATTTCACGGTATTTCGACAGTTTTACATCGATCTCTTCGCCATTACATTGCCGAAATTACATATGGAACGTTTCAGTTCGTATAATTCTCAACGTAGACTGTAAAAGACTTAAACGTAAATATAAATGTCGGTAACGGGACGCGCCAGCTTATGTTACTACTTTAGTACTCAAAACGGCATTACCACCAAAAAGGGCATACATGAATTTTAATTTATCGGCGCCTTTCATATCATCTTGAAAATATTTTGTGTCACTTAGAGAGTGAATGAAACAATGCCTCGAGATCTCCAGTCACTGCAGGAAACTACGGTGCCTAGATGGCGCTAATTCATTATCTACAGTATGAACGTCACACACTCTGATGATTATTATCGCGTTCCGGGAAATTTTCAACAGTTCATAACTAGAAGTCAAAAGTACGGTCATGGATAAAAGATAATAAGTAACGTCCAAGAAATGTACCATTTTCTTTTTATATTTCTAATTGTACATAGGAATACGTCACGTGGAAATATGTGATTTAATTTACGGGTGCGAATAGTGTACCAATAACATGATATATAACAAATATTATTCTAAAGGTACATTTAAATAATATAACGTCAAACGATTACCGTTCGGTAACATTATTACAAACTTGTTAACACATTCGCGACCGGCAAATATTTCCCGTTTCAAATACTGAGTATCGGCGAAAATAATGAAATTCTTAAACTGGTTGCCGCAAACTTGTATCGTGTATCGTCATGGACGTGAATTCACGTCAGCGGCGAGAATAATGATATGCTAAAACTGGTTGACGCAAACTTGTATCGTGTATCGTTATGGACGTGATTCACATCAGCGGCAATCAGGAATAAAATTTAAAACGACGTTAATTCACGTCATCGGCGACCAGGGATAGAACTTGAAGAGACGTGAATTCACGTCAGCGGCGAGAATAATGAAATACTGAAACTGGTTGCCGCAAATTTTTATCGTGTATCGTTATGGACGTGATTCACGTCAGCGGCAATCAGGAATAGAATTTAAAATGACGTGAATTCACGTCAGCGGCGAGAATAATGATATTCTAAAACTGGTTGCCGCAAACTTGTATCGTGTATCGTCATGGACGTGATTCACATCAGCGGCAATCAGGAATAAAATTTAAAACGACGTTAATTCACGTCATCGGCAACCAGGAATGGAACTTGAAAAGACGTTAATTCACGTCAGCGGCGAGAATAATGATATTCTAAAACTGGTTGCCGCAAACTTGTATCGTGTATCGTTATGGACGTGATTCACGTCACCGGCAATCAGGAATAGATTTTAAAACGACGTTAATTCACGTCATCGGCAATCAGGAACAGAACTTGAAAAGACGTGAATTCACATCAGCGGTCGCGAATGTGTTAACATCGCAGGGCAACTTGTTAGCAACTAACAGGAACGCCTTCCGTCAAAACGAACCCGCCAAAGCGTAGACTTTTCGTAAAAGTGTAGAAAGTGTGTAGGCAAAACGAAGAAACCTCTTATGTCCGCCGGTGTAGAAAAAGCGGAAAGAAAATGGCCGGTTAGTGGTCTCGCGGGAGTAGATTTCCCGATAAACCATCCCTGGCAGATGAGAGAGCGAGTTGAGTCCACTCTCTGGAAACTGGACTCAAGGCCTGGTTGACGACGATAAGGAACCGGAAGCAGATAGCGACCAATCGCATGCCCGCACGGCCGGAAGTAGTGTCGCCGTTGGAAGGAGCGCCAAAGGAGAGAAGCTTTTTCGGATCATTCGCGGCTAGCCTCGGTCACTCACAGATTATTTTGACCTGGACCATTCATCCCTGACCAGACTCCCATCCTCGTGGCAGCCTCTTAACTTCCATCCCTTATCGCGAGCCATAGTCCTCTATCACTCCGGAGGTCCTACACCTCTTGTACCGCGTATGTTTAAGTCAGACCTCTTTCGGTGAAGATAGAACAGCTATACTATTGCTGAATTTTTGTGCAGCTTACGTGACTCGAGTTATGTGCCCTGCGTGGAAGGACTTGGGGGATCGCAAGCTCTGAAAGACAATAAGGAAGAGGGAAGATGAAGTGCCCCGGAACGGTCCTCCTCGTCGCCCTAGGACTGGGACTTGTGCATGCCTGGGAGTTGACAAGTGAGCTCACATTTCTTCCATCGTTTATATATTTATTTTCGGCCCCTGGGAAACATTTAAGTAGCGGAAAATCTGGATTAATACATTCGCGACCGCGGACGTGGATTCACGTCATTTTAAATTCTATTCCTGATTGCCGATGACGTGAATTCACGTCATTTTTAATTATATTCCTGGTTGCCGCTGACGTGAATTCACGTCATTTTTAATTATATTCCTGATTGCCGCTGACGTGAATTCACGTCATTTTTAATTCTATTCCTGATTGCCCCTGACGTGAATTCACGTCCATAACGATACACGATAAAAATTTGCGGCAACCAGTTTCAGAGTTTCATTATTTTCGACGGTACTCAGTATTTGAAACGGAGAAAATTTGCCGGTCGCGAATGTGTTAAGGGGACGAAGAGTAATTTTAGTTCTAAGTGTGGCCAGATAAAAACGAAACCTCCATCAGAGCCGATGAAACAATGTGATTTGGAAATTTCATGTGGAGATTTTATAAATGCCGGTCAAAACTACATTTCTCGTATCTGTGCCGACGACGTTAACCCTATGAACACGGAGCCTTTTCGACGTATGGGCGAAATTCGTCTGACCGCGCAGGCAATATTGGACCAAATTGCCGCTGACGTGAATTCACGTCATTTTTAATTCTATTCCTGATTGCCGCTGACGTGAATCACGTCCATAACGATACGATACAAGTTTGCGACAACCAGTTTAAAAATTTCATTATTTTCGACGGCACTCAGTATTTGATACGGAAAAAAATTTGCCGGTCGCGAATGTGTTAAGGGGGCGAAGAATCATTTTAGTTCTAAGTGTGGCCAGATAAAAGCGATACCTCCATCGAGAGCCGATGAAATAATGTGATTTGGAAATTTCATGTGGAGATTTTATAAATGCCGAAGTCAAAACTACATTTTTCGTATCTGTGACTTCGATTAAATTCCTCCGTTTACTCTCAGTTGTAGGCATTTCAAGTTTATTTGACTGTGTGTCAGGTGCCGACGACGTAAACCTTATGAACTCGGAACCTTTTCGACGTATGGGCGAAATTCGTCTGACCGCGCAGGCAATATTGGACCAAACGTACGGTGACTATAGTCACCCGTCGTAGCGAAAGGGTTAAAGATGGCCGGTAACACGAGGCACCCTTGACTTCGCCCTACTTAGCAACCCTATTCTTTTCCCCGACGAGTATGGCGCGAGATTTGTCATTCTGTGAAATTTTACCGAAGTTTTGAAGAAATGTGACGAGGGAATATTTTATAAGTTATGCAACACGTGTATCCATGTCCGTCATAAATTAAGTGATTACAGTATTTTATTAAAAGGGATTAGTATAACTTGTGAGAAATATTGAAGAATCTACCCTAGTAGCCCAAAATATTTGTCCTATATTTTCTATATATTTAACGAATATCGTGCATTTTGTAAATATTTCGCAGACATTTGAAATATTTACAAAACGTTTACATTAGAATATTATCCCTGTAATATTTATATAATATCACCTCCATGTGTTTTCATAATATNTATTAGCTCCATGTGTTTTCGTAATATTTTTCTACCAGATATACAAAACATTTCGTTTCATTTTAATACAAGTATTTTTTAAATATTATCTGTCGAATACATCGTAACGTTTTAAAAATATTTAAAATCAACATCACACGTTTTGCTCCCATAATGAAATAGCGGAACGAAACTATTAGAAGAATTTCTCGTGTTTTTTGATACCAAGTGAAGTGTCCGACAATATTCGTGAAGTAAAAAATGTATTCTTATTATGTTCATAAGTTAAAAGATATAATTTCTGTATATGTGTATAAATTATTGAAACTAAATATGTCATTGAAATTTTCAAGAAATATTTCAAATATCTTCGAATGAAATCTTCAAGGAATCTTAAAAAATCCGTCGCTTGAGATATTTAGCAAAGATTACAAAGAAATATTTAGAAATTATTCTATGCTACTAGGGTATTTCAACACGGATATAAAAGTAGGAAAAAAATTGAACTTCTCAGTAACCGGAAATGCGTACTATCTCATTTAGCCGTGGACATTCTGCAAAATTCCATTCGATTATTCACTAGAACCTGATAATACGGAAGACGATAAAGCTTTAATGAGATAGGGAAACTATGAACCGACTCGGTTACTCATGCAAGGAATGTACTTCCTGTAAATACTGTTAATGAAATATATCCACCGAGAGCCTGTATTCATTACGAAGCCTCTTCGACGCCACTTTCATATCACCTTAACACTAAACGTACCGAGATTTAGTACACATCTATTTCTCTAGTAGCATAGAATAATTTCTAAATATTTGTTTGCAATCTTTGCTAAATATCTCAAGCGACAGAATTTTTAAGATTTCTTGTAGATTTCATTCGAAGATATCTGAAATATTTCTTGAAAATCTCAATGACATATTTAGTTTCAATAATTTATAAACGTGTATAGAAAATGAACATGATATAAAAATAATTTTTTAACTTCGCCCAGACCACAGAAAGTGATGTTTCAGTTATTAAGTAAACATATGCAATTTCAGCTCGCTGCCTTCCAGTCCGTCTGGCAAACCGAAATTAAGGCATCATCCGAAATATAGACACTTTCTTCTAGATCTACTCCGATCGGAACATCAGTAGCAACCCTGGTTGAAAGTGATGTTTCAATTATTAAGTAAATGCACGCATTTCAGCTCGCTGCTCTCCAGTTCGTCTGGCAAACCGAAATTAAGGCATCATCCGACATATTGACACTTTCTTTTAGATCTACTCCGATCGGAACATCAATAGCAACCCTGGTTGAAAGTGATGTTTCAATTGTTAAGTAAATATATGCAATTTCAGCTCGCGGCCCTCCAGTCCGGCTGGCAAACCGAAATTAAGGCATCATCCGACATATTGACACTCCGATCGGAACATCAATAGCAACCCTGGTTGAAAGTGATGTTTCAATTGTTAAGTAAATATATGCAATTTCAGCTCGCGGCCCTCCAGTCCGTCTGGCAAACCGAAATTAAGGCATCATCCGACATATTGACACATTCTTTTAGATCTACTCTGATCGGAACATCAGTAGCAACCCTGGTTAAAAGTGATGTTTCAGTTGTTAAGTAAACATATGCAATTTCAGCTCGCTGCCCTCCAGTCCGGCTGGCAAACGGAAATGAAGGCATCATCCGACATATTGACACTTTCTTTTAGATCTACTCCGATCGGAACATCAGTAACAACCCTGGTTGAAAGTGACGTTTCAATTGTTAAGTAAATATCTACAATTTCAGCTCGCTGCCCTCCAGTCCAGCTGGCAAACCGAAATTAAGGCATCATTCGACATATGGACACTTTTATCTACATCTACTCCGATCGGAACATCAATATCAACCCTGGTTAAAAATGATGTTTCAATTGTTAAGTAAATGCACGAATTTCAGCACGCTGCTTTCCAGTTCGGCTGGCAAACCGAAATTAAGGCATCATCCGAAATATGGACACTTTCTTCTACATCTACTCCAATCGGAACATCAGTAGCAACCCTGGTTAAAAGTGATGTTTCAATTGTTAAGTAAATATATGCAATTTCAGCTCGCTGCCCTCCAGTCCGGCTGGCAAACGGAAATGAAGGCATCATCCGACATATTGACACTTTCTTCTACATCTACTCCGATCGAAACATCAATAGCAACCCTGGTTAAAAGTGATGTTTCAATTGTTAAGTAAATATCTACAATTTCAGCTCGCTGCCCTCCAGTCCGGCTGGCAAACGGAAGACTGCGAAGTCGCGCCCGGGGCAGAGTCGTCCGATTCAGCTGCTTCGAAGGGTACACCCTCGTCGGTAACAAATACTCAACTTGCATCCGGGGACAGTGGGACACCCCAGCGCCGGTCTGCGTCAGTAAGTATGCCCCCAAGCCCCTTTTAATTACGATTAATTAGAAGGCCACAAAGCGAGCGCGCCCCTCTATAATAGTTGGGCGAGAAACGTATTCGGCGAGGCCGAATTACCGGAGCACGTACGTACCGAGACTTCCACGCGGGATTCGGTTTTCCTCCAGGAAATTCCCCGGAACATTTCCCCGGAAGCATTCCGTGCCAACGGACATGCATCCCCCAGGAATACCCTGAATTTACACGGTTCCTCCGCTAACGTAAACTTTCCGCTTCCGGATTCTTTCGTGGTCTTCGCCGGGGAGATAATCCTGAAGAATAACGCCGTAAAGAAGGGGTTATATCGTTTTAATCAAATTGCACTTGCTCCCGTGCGGAATCGGGATAATTACAAAAGAACAATGTACCTTAAAATAATATTCATTTTTCATACATTTAATAAAAAATATCACGCAATTTTATCCAAAATTATATAATTTTTTATTTTTTTTTGGTACTTGACAATAGTTAGATATTAAATGACAGACCAGACTTTCAATGAAATTATGTTATGTAGCATAAAAGTAACATGGAATTTAGATGTTTCTTATTATTTCCCCCTCATTAAGGTAACATGTTATATTAATGTTATATTAATGTTATAATTTCAGTTACCTTAAAATAATATTCATTTTTCATACATTTAATAAAAAATATCACGCAATTTTATTCAAAATTATATAATTTTTTGTTCCTTAAAATAATATTCATTTTTCATACATTTAATAAAAAATATCACGCAATTTTAGTACGGTGACTATAGTCACCCGTCGTAGCGAAAGGGTTAAAGATGGCCGGTAACACGAGGCACCCTTGACTTCGCCCTACTTAGCAACCCTATTCTTTTCCNGTTACGTAACTGTTAGGTTATTACATTGTAACAAACGTTATGTTATTTGTTAGTTTTAAGTTACGTAACTGTTAGGTTTGGTGTTCTGTGGGAATGCTGCTTAACGTGTTAAAGCTGCGATTAGTCCTAATCTAAAATTCTTTTGCAGACGCTCTATGTTCACCCTTGGCAACCCCTGAACACGCTTTGGTGGCTTCGAAATTCAACGGCGCCGTGTTAATGTATTTCTGCGAACCGGGTTACACCCTGGTCGGAGGTACTGAGATTTACTGCGATGGTCGACAGTGGAATAACACGGCTCCATATTGTAGAGGTATACCAAATTAATCAATTTCGACGCCCTAAATCACTAACCAGTACCACCGCGGACTTTATTATTGTAGTTTTCATGCTTTAACGGCGTTCGCCATCAAAGTGGGGACGATAACTTCCACCGCTAGATGGCATTAGGTTTGTTCGCTTTGCCTACAGTTTTTACACTTTTACGAAAAGTCGTTTTCCGAGTCGTTCTCAAAGTCTAATTCTGAGTATGGTTACATCCTTTGTTAATTTACGGCTCTCTGGTAATTAAGAAAACAAGAGATCTCTGTTCCCTTCTAACTGTGCGTAAAATGTTGATATGAAAATTCGATTAAGCGATTTCCTTCGTGCGACGACGCTGCATTCACGTGATTTGATAAGTTACAAGCGACACGTGTCTATGTCGGGAATACGTCACCGTGAGGAATTTAATTGCACGCATATTTCATCGTAAACGTGTTTAAACTGTCCGCAATCGTGCACTTGACTAATTGGAGAGCTGATAAAAAATTAGAGTTCAGGTACAGGATATTGCATCATCTTGAAACTCCTTCTCGATGAGACTGTGGCGCCATCCTGTAACCGTAGACGGAACTAAACTGCTGCATTCTCCTCGATAATCAATATGCATAATTTATTCATTGATAATAACGATTATACATAATTAAATGTAATCAGGGCGTCTATTACGTATCTTTGACGAGAAAGCTCACTTCTCGCACTTTCATCTCACGCGGGTTTATGAACCTAATTATGTATCCCCAGAGTGAAATTGCGAAATCTCTACAGGGTGTAGCAGAACTGGTAGTCATGGTTTATAAACCAGTTTATACAACGCTATCCTTGTTGAAAAAGGAGTCGAAAAGCCCTGTACTATTTTTTCCTTCAGTGCATAAATTCCCTGTAATAACTAATTGAAGCACAGCCAATCGCGTTCCCGAACGGGACGCGGTTTTTGTACTTTTTATTGAATTTCAATATTGTGGATAAGTATGGTACTCAATACTTCTTTAATTTTTTGTCAATTATACTTTTTCTATGCGGTGGAATCGAAACCAAAGATTCCTCTTATGTGGCTGAGATTATGTCACATTTGACCTACAAAAGTAATGAGGTATGTTGTAGACTTAATTGTTAAATTAGTCATTATTATTAAAAAAGATGTACCGCTAAAATCTTAATCACATAAGAGGAATCGTTAGACATGTTACATGATATGTCGCACATGTCATGTAATATAATCTTTGAAGAGTCCGTAAATAAAATTGACTAACCCTGAAAATTTAGGTTTCAAGATAACACAAAAAAAATGTGACTTGATGCTCAGAGACCACTGTCTTTCGTGGCACTGAATCAAATTTTCTTCATATAAATTACTTAACTTTAACATTAGTCACTAGCTTTAATGTCTTAATTAAATTTACTAATGAATAATGTCAATGAGTAAATTTAAGTGAAAATTTGTCTTGCTGCTAAGAGAAACAATGGCGTAATTTGCTCATCGATAAAAAGTGTCACAGTTACATGAAAAGGTTCTTGCTTTGTGCTATAATTTTTCCAACTATTATTATATCACTGTAATAGAAATTCATAGTATAAGAATTTGGGTACAAAGTAAATGTATCAAAACCATACTATAAAGTTATCGGAGTACCATTAACTTCCCTAATAGGGATTGAATTTTATATCTATACTTCAAAGTAACAACACAAGTCTAGTACTCCTTTTCAAATTGAATATGTTACTTTCTTTCGATACTATGTAACTAATTACAAATCGTACGAATGGTACTAGTTGTACAAATTCCTAACATAGTCCACATTTGAGGTCTTCAGAGTTCATTACTTCTTATATCGGATGTTCTTTCGAATGTTTGTTCTCTTTTATAGTTGTTTTTTATTCCTTGTGCTTTATCTGTAACAAAATAATTTCATACAAAGTATCGATCGAACAAAATAATTTTACTCTTACTATACTAGATTTTTATCCTCCACTTCAAAAGAAGAAAACTTATCTGACAATATATATAAACTCCAACGATGTACTCGAATTTTCTCTTCCTTTAAGATCGGAAACACAGCCCATTTGACCGTAATTATTTATTAATTGATGAGGTATAACCATAACTTGTTGCAGAACCTAGTAACACGAAACATTTAACTAGTTTTTTACTTTCATTTCGTTTTAGAACATTTTAAATATACTTCTAACCTATTTGCATATAATCTATCGAACATATCATGCGTGCTACTTATTACCTTATTTATTTTTATTAGAGGAGAATTTCTGATACACTTAGGCCCGGTTCCACAACACGAGTTAACCGGAGTTTAATTGGTTTACAGCAAATCGCTGAAATATGTAGTAAATTGGAACGCTCGCCATACTTAAGAATCCACGGCCTACGTCTCCATCGTGCTTAAAATCCGGGATTTATTGAATTCGGATCCAGTAAATCCGAATTTATGGGTCGGTCCAGACGCTCAGGATCGAATTTGAGTATTTATTAATACGATGGGGACATGCGATTAACTGGATCCGGATCTGATAAATCCCGGATTTAAGACGACGATGAAGACGTAGTCACGACAAGCTTGTTCCAGAGAGATACAGATTTGGATGTATTTGCATCCTTGTCGCACAATGTTCAGTAAGCATTAATCCGAGAAAGATGAAATGATGGATATCTTTCTGTCACAGTTCTATTCCCAGATTACCCAATGCGTGCGTACTATTTGTACCGGCAACAAGAGAAGTAATTATCATTCACTATTAGCATTGTGCACTGGTATAGCGACAAATTTAATTTGTAATTAGAATGTACAAAAGCGGACTACACAAGCGAGCGTTACAGTTTACTGTATACTTTAATTCAGCCAGTTTAAACTGGGTGTAAACCACATAAGCTTTGGTTAACTGGTTTACAGTAGGTTGACGCAGGTATAAACTAGTTAATCGGAGGTTAAGTGTTACACAACAGGTTTAAACCGCGTATCAACCAGTTAAACTTGACGATTCAAATGATTTGAACTGTATTGTTGGTGCAACCTCTCGATACTTAATTGAAAACTTCTAATTTGTTATAAGGTTAAACTTCTAACCGTATACTGATTTAAGGTATATGTTTATCGTTACGTATATAATTCAAATTTGAATTTCCCTCCAAATAAATTTCGAATACTTCTTCGCGGGCATTCTATTTCCTTGGTGGCGCATAACGGTCAATTTTGAAAAAATGAATTACAAAGACTTGTAGGGTCATTATAGCTCTCATCTAAATAATATTAAACGAACTTCTAACCATATACTGATTTAAGGTATATGTTTATCGTTACGTATATAATTCAAATTTGAATTTCCCTCCAAGTACATTTCGAAAACTTCTTCGCAGGCATTAAATTTCCTCGGTGGCGCATAACGTTCAATTTTGAAAAAACGAAATTACAAAGACTTGTAGCGTCATTATAGCTCTCATCTAAATAATATTAAACGAACTTCTAACCATATACTGATTTAAGGTATATGTTTATCGTTACGTATATAATTCAAATTTGAATTTCCCTCCAAATACATTTCGAATACTTTTTCGCGGGCATTCAATTTCGTGGCGCATAACGGTCAATTTAAAAAAAAAACGATTACAAAGACTAGTAGGGTCATTATAGCTCTCATCTAAATAATATTAAACGTTCATTCTCAGAACATTGAGATGTTAAGTTGTAAAGAATTGTATACTGTACTAAAGCTAATTATTTAAATAGATACCAGCGCGGTGGCACCGACGGAGTGCGATTTCGAGAAGACAGATTTGTGCTGGTGGGAACAAGATCCAAAGCACGACTTCGACTGGAAAAGACACAATTTCGAGACACCTAGTGCTCACATTGGAACTGGTCCCACATACGACCACACACTCGGTGCCGGAAACGATGGTATAATATAAGCCCACAATGCATTTCCAAATTCTCAGCGTTAGTCTAAAATAATAATACTGGTAACAATGTCCAGGTCATTACTTATACATCGAGGCGTCGGGTCGACTGGAGAACGACACTGCGAGGATAATCTCACCAATTTACAACCACGTACTTACAAACGGAGGATGCTTCACATTTTGGTAACGAACAACAAATTTATTCATAGCATATAATACTTTATTTCCGTCATTGATGTAAACGAGAACTAAAATACGTGCGTATTTATTTTAATTAAATGCGGATTTATGCTCCTCTAACAGTGAGCGATTCAGGTTAAATTAATTGCGATTTTTGTGCGTACATTGCAACCGATGTTATAAACAAATTCACATATGAGTAAGGTTTTCGTTTCATCGCGTCGAGAAGAAAATCAGCGTTAATGTCTAAATTTTCATGAAATTATGCGAATGTCGGTTGGGAAGGTGCAAAGTTTCGGTAAAATCTAGCACGTTTATTTATATTATATTTAAATTAATTATCCAAAAATTCAGTATTTTTTACCACGTCATTGTTGGACAATTTGTACAGAATGGCGTGAGTTTTACGAAACAGGCATGCAACTCTTTGGCTTCTTGATTAAAAATCTTGGATATTGAATTTAATTAATTTATACAGTTATGTGAATTGTCTTGAAAGGCTTCTCGTATAATTTTAACGCGATCAATTTATTACAGGTACCACATGTACGGATCCACAATTGGCGCTCTTCGGGTTTATTTTAAACCGGAAACTGAAAGTACACCACGTTTGATGTTTTCTAAAGAGGGAAATCAGGGTAACCGATGGTTGCAAGGCATGTTTTATTTGCCTCCAACTCGCCAAAATTTCCAGGTAAATATCGCAAATATCGTAAATAATTATAATAAATGTCATATTACATGTTACAAACGTTATGTAACGGTTACATTATTGTTACGGAACTGTGTTTGGTGGACAGGTATTTTGAATTTTATTAAATTGTTCTTTATTCGTAGATCATCATCGAGGGTGTACGGGGTTCCAGTTACGTCAGCGATATTGCCGTGGATGATGTCGCCATTTTGTCCCAAAGTAGCTGTAAGAAGATACACGAAAACATGACGTCGGAAATCGATGATGGTCAGTATTAATCATAAGTAAAAGATTTTTTAATCTAGTCATCAATGTTTAAGAAGACCCAATACTCTGACTAAGGTAACTTCGGGTAATAAGGCCCATGTGAGGGAGCAATATTTCACCATATAGTAAAAGTGAATTGTTTGTGGCTCCCTCTGCCAACTAGTAGGACAAAGAAGTGTCCATTGGGGGTATTGTCGGAGCTGTGGACGGGTCCATGGTAAACCTAGAATGATAAGATATATTTCCGAGGGAAGTTTATCAAATTTGGTTGCAGCGTTCAAGCTGTTTGTCTCAAAGTTTTGTGAAGTACTGCTGTGTCTAACGGGTAAGTAGGACTTTATACTTTTCTCTACATCCTGTCGTATGAGTTTTGTTGAAGAGCTTTGTTGTTTTAAAAATGATAACTTGGGTATGTAAATTGCACCGAACGGATAATAAGGCCCGGCATAGGGCAACATGCGCAACCAAAGATCATTCTCAAAAAGGACATGAAACTGTAACCAGTTGCAGTAAATACAACGTCGCAACAAAAATTGAGCGAAGTACCTTAAAAAAACGAAGCCTGGCACCTCAAAGAAGACCGAGAACTGGAACCGCTGTCTTTATCAAGAAAATAGGGTTGCTGACATGCGGCAACGTGTCCTGGGCAAGAAATGGCTTTATGAAGAATGCCGAAGACAATATTTGAGGATCTTGATGACATAATTTGCGCTAACTGTGCAAATTAATGTGCATTCTCCCATCGATTTCCATGGGCCTTGTTACCTACACGTTCTGGAAACAAAGCCCAGGAGCCCCATCCTGCCTTTCTTTTTTAATTACGTATTTGTTTAAAATTATATTTTCTTTTCATAGTTTGTACCTGAAATAAACATTGTTCGTGTCGCCTCTGCTCATTTCTCCTTCCCAAAAGCGTTTATATTTTAGTTCTTACAGGCCTTTCAAATAATGGTGGGCCTTATTACCCAAAGTTACCTTACTAACAAAAATTCTTCTTATGGATGTAACATAATAGTTATGATGTCTGGTTTTGCCAAAACGGTATTCGAAAGTACCGTGCTGTACAAAGATCACCTGTGCATAAGTATTTACGTACTGAAGGTAATTCGAAAACTGAAAAAATCACGCTCCACGAAAAAATGATTAATTCACTTGTTTACTCCTTTCTTATCACGCCTGTATCACTACAGAGCATTGCGTCGGATGGGATTTACCAGTATAATTGTAATCATTAATATAATGGTTCATATGTTTTCCAGAAATAAGACCTACAAAGATTATGTAGTTAAATGCTTTGTAGGAAAGCGGGTGAAGTGTTGAAAGTATGATTGTCGGGAAACAGTATTACTTAAATCTCTGTTTTTATTTGCCTTTGCGAAATTCCGGATAACCGGGTCGTCGAAAATATGCAAATCCGTTCAGCCGATAATAACGATTACATCGGAATGGCCGGCTATCGGGTCGCGTCCACTGTCGTTATTAATTATTATCCGCAAATTCTTTCATCGCATCCAGGTTCGATTACGTATGTAAATCCCAAGGTAAGAGGATTTTACACTTCGCTCTCCCCGAAATTCATCAAATCCCTAGATAGATGGATTAGAACATGCGAGGGATGGATTTATCGGGAAGGGAAGTCGGATTGGAGGTTCTCGCAATCTCAGAATCGGAAATGCAATCCGCGGGAAAGTTTACCACTAACAAGCTTCGCGTAATTAACGTTGCTCCTTCCAAATTATGGGAGCGTCATCCAAGACTTGGCAATTAGTCCGCATTAATCATTCACTTATGGACACGCCAGACTAGTTTGTACAACATATTACAGAAGCTAGGCAACGTCAAAGTTCCAAATCACAAATTTTCCCCCAAATCCCTGTAAATATCGTTAATCGTCATCGTTGATGATGAATTTAGAAAACTAGAAAGACACCTCGTGTAACCTAACATCTTTCATACATACTTAATGTTTATATCTAAATTCCAACTTGGTAAAACTGTTCATTTCGTCCATACTCTGATTTTTTTTTTTATTTACTTCCTCTTTCGCTTGTGACCATATATCATGATTTTTAACCATTATGTAAATTATGATATACCAGGCACTATATGAAGTATAATATACTTATAGTGGACGTACGAATTAAGAAATAAGTATAGAAAACTGACATAGATATCTTATATACATTCAATAAACATTTATATACGGATAATATACGGATATTCCACTTCGTGAGATGCTTAAAGGTGGTGTTGAAATAAAAGTATCGATGCCACGTTTATACAGTAAATTGTGAATACTAAGACCATACATCATGATTTTTAACCACTATGTAAATTATGATGCATTACCAGGCACCGTATGAAATATAATATACTTATAGTGGACGTACAAATTAGGACAAGTATAGAAAACTTACATAGATATCTTATAAACATTCAATAAACTTTTATATACGGATAATATACGGATATTCCACTTCATGAGGTGCCTGAAAGGTAGTGTTGAAATAAAAGTATCGATGCCACGATTATACAGTAAATTGTGAAAACTAAGACCATACATCATGATTTTTAACCACTATGTAAATTATGATGCATTACCAGGCACCGTATAAAGTATAATATACGGATATTCCACTTCATGAGGTGCTTGAAAGGTAGTGTTGAAATAAAAGTATCGATGCAACGCTTATACATTTATGAATTATTTTGGGTTACATTGCAATCATTCCTGTGAACCATATGTCTGCATATACTTTTTTTTCTTTCCTTCAGATCAAACCGAAATTAATAATGCCATGCAGAGCTGTCGAGGGAGATGCGGAGCTTCTTTCGAAAACTCGGCAATGGTTACTCCATCTACTGCCTGCCAATGTACACCAGACTGTGCAGAAAGCTCAACATGCTGTCCTGATTTCGCAGAATATTGTATTTTAGGTAAGTCGCTTTTTCATCTGTGTCAAATGTGTGGGACACAAGCATTACCATTATATGAGCCGCTCAGTGCACACATCGACTAACTCCACTTTTTGAAAAATCTTAAATTTAGGTGTCAAAGCACTTGGTATAGTCATAACTTTTTATATTTATAATATCTTTCCTGATTAATAGAGATTAACACCATTAAACGGCAAAATTTTGTTGGGCATTGAATAATAAGTAATTTATTTCGTTACAAATATGTGCTGGATATACACGGTAATATCAGGACAGTAACATAATGTAAGATAAGAGTACCAAAGTTACGCTACATTTATATAGATACGATAGTAACAAATGTTATGTAACCTGTTAGCTCCATGTCACATAACTGTTAAGTTATTACATTGTAACAAACGTTATGTTAATTGTTAGTTTTAAGTTACGTAACTGTTAGGTTATTACATTGTAACAAACGTTATGTTATTTGTTAGTTTTAAGTTACGTAACTGTTAGGTTATTACATTGTAACAAACGTTATGTTATTTGTTAGTTTTAAGTTACGTAACTGTTAGGTTATTACATTATAACAAAAGTTATGTTATTTGTTTGTTTTAAGTTACGTAACTGTTAGGTTATTACATTGTAACAAAAGTTATGTTATTTGTTAGTTTTAAGTTACGTAACTGTTAGGTTTGGTGTTCAGTGGGATAGAGTGTTCGGTGGGCAGTGGGTCTGTATTTTTAATTGTTATCGTTCGTCAAAATGATATTTATCGTCCGACTTCATTAATTTTACAGACGTGACGAATTTTTCGGACGAAGCCGCAGAAGGAACCACCGGGATGTTCGTAGGGACTCTTCAAGATTGGACCGTGGAACCTACGGAAAGTCCAAAATCACAAACGGTTCGAATTCAAGATCCTGTAAATCCGAAATACGTCCCTGGACATATAATTCCGACGAATCCGGCTGACGATCTCGAACCAAACCCGTCCAAAATCCCAGAACAAGCGGAAGTGTTTCCGGAAAGACCGCCCGATATTGCTGACAATGCAACGCAATCGACTTCGACAATGAGAACAATACTCGTTGGACCAACGGCATCATCGACGACGAGTACAACTTTAACCACAAAAACGACAAAGGCAGTAATCGACAAAGGCACTACTACCGTATCAAAATTATCAATGCGGAGCACAACAATGTCAAAAATGACTACAATGTCGGAAACCACGAGAAGCAACGAAGTCGGAAGTCCAACTGGTTGGTATTTCTTATTAAGTAGCTTTGTTAACAGCTCTTTCGGAGAACGATTAGCAATGGAGAATTTTTATTGCAATTTCTTTTGCAGATTTTCATGCCCTAAAAATCGAGAATTCACAACTGCAACATGGAACGACACTAGGATTGCCAGGAATAATCGGCATGCTGATCGGTATTCTTGGCGGGGTCTTTATAGTAACGGTCTCGGCAATTGCGATTTTTAAAAAACGGAAAAGTTACAAACGAGGTGCCGGGGGATCGGCACTTTCGGAAGACAGCGACGTCCGATTTTTGACTTCTGACGAAGTCTTGGATTTTAATCTGGCGAAGCCTATCGACTACGAGGATCTTTAAAAGTAGTGTTGGACAGATCCAATCGTGAATCTTAGCGGTAATTATAATTTATCAGCATTTTTTATATGTAAACAATTAGCTGTAGTTTTAGTAGAATCTGTAAATAACGCAGGTAAACGTCGGTCGTTTTTATCCTACAAAATGCATTTTAATTGCAATATCAAGTTTAAAACAAGTTCAAGAAAATTTGAAAAATTCAGCACGATAGTGCTATGTAAAATGCTTTATATTTTGAAGTTCAGATATTTTTAATTTTTCCATTTTATTCCGATTTTAATCTTTTATTCGGATTTTAATCTGGCGATGCCTATCGACTACGAGGATCTTTAAAAGTAGTGTTGGACAGATCCAATCGTGAATCTTAGCGGTAATTATAATTTATCAGCATTTTTTATACGTAAACAATTAGCTATAGTTTTAGTAGAATCTGTAAATAACGCAGGTAAACGTCTATGTAATATAAAAACGAACGTCGGCAACGTAGGTATTTAGAAAAATCCACTTTACCGACGACGATCAAGTTCCTCGGCGTGTTTCACTTGCAGAGAAACTGTTTGTTACAGCTAGTCACAATCACTGAGCGAAGGAAATGCTCAATACCTGAAACATGCCAAATAGAGGCTGCAGAACGGAATCCAGTTGGTCAGTTTTCGAGGATGGGTATTTTTCATCACTACCGTGTGTACTCTTCGACCGATTGTGTTAAAAAAGACCAGAGTTTGCTTCCTCAAGGCATTAAATTTACCAAGTTACTAAGGATGACCCTTTACCTTTCTCGTAAACACTTTCATCAGCAAACAGAAGTACGAAGTTCCATGAAGTATTTTGCAATCTATGGACATCGAACGTTTAGTTAACTAGATATGTAGATAATAATTTGGAAATAAGGCTAAGGTGTAATGCATTGGTTGCATGTTAAATGTAGAATAAATAGACGCGAAGTTTGCTTTCGTGTAAGAGAAATTGATTTCCTAACCTCAAAGACGCCGCACAGCAACTGTTGCCGACGCGATGGAGGCTACCCGCTAATTGCTGGGTTACTTGGAAAACCTGCGATCTTTGGGTTCTGAAAACCTTCACCTCAGGTAGAACATTTGCTTGGCTGAAGAATTAGCCGGAATTTCCGAAGCCGTGCCGAAGAAAAAGAACCAGTGGCGACCCACGGTGGGGTACCCACGTACCATAGAATAATTTCTAAATATTTCTTTGTAATCTTTGCTAAATATCTCAAGCGACCGATTTTTGTAAGAATTCTTGTAGATTTCATTCGAAGATATCTGAAATATTTGTTGAAAATCTCAATGACATATTTAGTTTCAATAATTTATAAACATATATAGAAATTATATTTTTTAATTTATGAACATGTAATAAAAATACATTTTTTACTTCACGACTATTATCGGACACTTCATTTGGTATCAAAAAACACGAGAAATTTTTCTAATATTTTCGTTCCGCTATTTCATTATGGGAGCAAAACGTGTGATTTTGATTTTAAATATTTTTAAAACGTTTATAATGTATTCGGCAGATAATATTTAAAAAATACTTGTATTAAAATGAAACGAAATGTTTTGTATATCTGGTAGAAAAATATTATGAAAACACATGGAGCTAATATTATATAAATATTATAGAGATAATATTCTAAAGTAAACGTTTTGCAAATATTTCAAATGTCTGCTAAATATTTACAAAATGTACGATATTCGTTAAATATATAGAAAATATAGGACAAATATTTTGTGCTACTAGGGCTATGTTTCTTCGAGCCCTGTATCTAATTATGGAAACAACAAGTGGCATGAAATAATTTATTGCATTGAAGTGTAATAAATAATTTAATTATCGATAAATCGGATGACGACAATGTTTCAAAAATGTGAAACAGTCTCCATCATAAAATGACATATTATGCAGATGAAAATGGAGGGGTATTAAAAATACGCCTTGCATGCAATTGAAAATATTAATGCCTATAAAATAGTAAAGCTTGTACACATAACTCCAAGCTCATTAATTGTTTCTTAAACGATTTAAAATATTGATGCGCTAATAAGCGGAACAACATTTCTTAAATACACAACTTTGCGCTTATTATTGACAATAGTATGTTATAGCAATTGCTTAAACTGAAGCCTCGGGTGCACATCACAATATGAATTAATTAAACTAATTCGTCAAATCTTAGACAATTTTATTCTCACTCGTAGTACTGTTAACGAACATAGTATAAAGTTGTCTCTTAATATTATTTCCACGCAATAGGGAGAAACATACAATAGGCATTAATTGAAAATAATAAACATTTGGTAGAAAAAATAAAAATAAATAAGAAATGGCATAAGTAAATAAAAAAGAGAAAATTAAAAAGTAACAAGTGGCCTATAGTGCAAACATTTACCTGGTCTGTATCAGGCTTATGCACATGTAAGTATGTACTTATGTATGTAAGTCGGTCATACTTGTATTCACCTACAATTTGCACAATTTTCGAAATATAAACTCAAACCAGGTGACAAACTACTGTAAACCGATTTTATTTAAGATTATGTAAACTTGATTGTTAACTCAGAAAATTAATTCCAAAGATCTGAAATTATGGCAATTACCGAAAGAAATTAATCCGATATGGATATCATTTTTTTGATGTATTGTTATTCACTGGTATTAACTTAATTAAAAAATGATTACTATACTGTACATAGTTGTGTAATATTCGTCACAACGTTTTGAGTACCTAAATATTTTCGAGGTTGAGGTTTTTTGAAGACGAAACTCATTATCGTGCGATTTAATTACAAGTAACGAGATTATCATATTCTGCAATCCTAATGTTTTCTGATACAGTGATCTTATTTATATTCGATCTTCGTACTTCGGACATAAGTTGATCATTTTTGTAAGTAATGTTGTTAGATTCTACTTATGTATTAATGCATTAAAACACATAGAGTACAGTATAATCAAAATTGAAATAAATCTCACGCATGTAATTATTCACCAATCTTTCTGATCTCCGTCTCCAATTGTATTATTCCACTAATTCTATTCTTTCTTCCTTTAATTGGATTTTTTACTATTAGGGAATAAACAAAATATGTGTAATTTTAGATTGAGTTCGCTGCATCGAAAAAACCGCAAACTTTACTTATTACATAATAATGGCAGACAATATTTACCCGTTCAATCAATGATTGTATTTTGATAATAGTTTCTTAATAATCTTATTGGATCTCCAACTTAAATGAATCTGTTATTTATCAGTTAATTTAATCCGCCATTTTATCAACTTTTTCATGTATTTATATTCTGAAAACTGAATATTGAACAAAAAAAGTTAACTGTTATAGAACTATGCCTAGTATTTAAAGAATCGTCGATTAAATAAATAAGGTAAATAAAAACAAATATCTGGATATAGAAACAAGGTGCAGAACAAAGTAAGAGGAAAGCCTGTTTATATAAACAATCGTCTTCATGTTCCATGTGTTGAAAAGTACTTATACATGAAAATATATCGTTTAAAAATCATGTTTACCCATGAGTTTCAATTTAACCTCGAATACTTGTACAATTTATAAAAGAATAAATTGTTTGAGGCTTCTTTTTTATAGGATAAATACCATCGATGGATAATAGGGAAATATTATTGATATCATTAATAAGCAATAATATCTGCATACAAAAGGAATATCGATCCCTGATAGTTCAACGGATTTATAGGATAAATACCATCGATGGATAATAGGGAAATATTATTGATATCATAAATAAGCAATAATATCTGCATACAAAAGAAATACGATCCCTGATAGTTCAACGGATCGTCTCTAAAGCGATAAAAGAGGCTTTTGTCAAACCCTACATATATGTTAAGTTACTCATCTCAGGTGACGGATTCAAGAAATAGAATAACACCACCAGAGTCATGTCATCACCTCCGCATCTAATAGACAATCGCTATTTCATCGAGATTCCGGAAAGTTGGGAAACATTATTGATACCATAAATAAGCAATAATATCTGCATACAAAAGAAATACGATCCCTGATAGTTCAACGGATCGTCTCTAAAGCGATAAAAGAGGCTTTTGTCAAACCCTACATATATGTTAAGTTACTCATCTCAGGTGACGGATTCAAGAAATAGAATAACACCACCAGAGTCATGTCATCACCTCCGCATCTAATAGACAATCGCTATTTCATCGAGATTCCGGAAAGTTGGGAAACATTATTGATACCATAAATAAGCAATAATATCTGCATACAAAAGGAATACGATCCCTGATAGTTCAACGGATAGTCTCTAAAGCGATAAAAGAGGCTTTTGTCAAACCTTACATATATGTTAAGTTAGACTCATGTCGGGTGACGGATTCAACAAATAGAATAACACCACCAGAGTCATGTCATCACCTCCGCATCTAATAGACAATCGCTATTTCATCGAGATTCCGGAAAATTGGGAAACATTAAACAAATAAGGAAACATTATTGATACCATAAATAAGCAATAATATCTGCATACAAAAGAAATACGATCCCTGATAGTTCAACGGATCGTCTCTAAAGCGATAAAAGAGGCTTTTGTCAAACCTTACATATATGTTAAGTTAGACTCATGTCCGGTGACGGATTCAACAAATAGAATAACACCACCAGAGTCATGTCATCACCTCCGCATCTAATAGACAATCCCTATTTCATCGAGATTCCGGAAAATCTCCACGACAATCCCGCTAGAGATCCTTCCTTGTAATCAGCCCTACATCCTAAAACGTCTCACTTTAACGATCCCTGATAAAATCCCTAGGATCTGAAAGTGGGGTCGTTAACGGTGCCCCAGATAAAATCCCTAGGATCTGCAAGCGGGGTCGTTAACGGTGCCCCCAGATAAAATCCCTAGGTTCTGGAAGTGGGGTCGTTAACGGTGCCCCAGAAGAGAAGAAGCCCAGAAGGTTCGTGTCTGATAAAGAACAAGAAAGGTCTGTCGGCAACGAGCCTCTTCTGGCTGCCATCTCTTTCGAGCAAAATTGCGGTAGCAGCCGCAGCTTCAGTTCCCCTCTCATTGATCTCGATCTCCACCTTGTGCAAGACATTCTCGGCGAATAACTTGGGATTGGGCAGGTTACCAGAGTTCCTCAGCTTGTCCAGCCCAAGAGAGGGGTAGTTCTGAGTGTTGAGCCAGTCCAGGAAGTCCTGATCGATGGGCCTGACCTGCCTTTTCTTAGGGAAGGTCGCGGACCTCCTAGGTCTATCAAAGCGGTATTTATTCTCCTCAAGGGGGACCACCTTGATCCTGGCATCGTCATCGCCTTCAGTGATGTTGGGCACCTCGTATGCACTCTTCCGTTTCGGTTCGCTCCTCTTCAGCCTCCCAGCAGCCTCTCTACGGAATCTCTCGATGATGAAACCATTCGCCCATTGTTGCACTCTGTACCGACCAACCTCATCCGCGTACCTGAAGTAGTTTCGCCTAACTGGCCTACCCAGAGGCAGGGTCGTCGGTGTTTTGTCGTCGGAGTCGTCCCGGAACCTTGGGAAGACGAAGTTGTCTTGGCTGGACAGTTGTTGGACCAATGGATTAGACTCTGATTGCTGCATAAAGTTTGCCACAGGTTGCAGTGGGGCGTTCAAGCCAGGTGACAGAAGACTCAAATCAGCTGTTTGGGCGTCGAAGAGGGATCGCAAGCCTAGCGACTCCAGGGCCGCGTTCAGGGACAATGTCGTTGATAGATTCATTCGGGGGAGACCCAGGATGCACGTCTCGGTCTTCACGCTTTTTATCAAATGTTCCAGTACGTCCACTGATAGGGTTGACGTCAATGCGGACAGAGCACCAATATCTTTAGATGTTGGCTGCACCACGTACATGGTCACCTACATTTCAGAGAATTATTCATTAATTCGCTACTCATTTGCAAAATTGACGTCGGCAGAATTGATCGATGACTACGACACATGTTTGATAACATAATTAGTATACGATAACAATAACGCTGTGCCCTTGTATCATGGTTAGACACACAAAGATAGGAGGAAATGAGTGGTCGTTTTTCTTTGAGATTCGTGTAACAAGGTACTAACATTTGCTGTTGACTATTGCTAGGTACTTCATTATTGCATTTGAAATCCAATTTCACTTTGATTGTCTAATTTGCAGTGCCAACAATAGATTCATGCGATAATGTAACAAATGACTTGAATCAATTATGTGAGGAAGATTTCTCATTTTGACTAAACAATCTTTGTTGGAGAATCTTAAACCAGAAAATTTGATGAAATGATAAACACGTGTAAGGTAACTTTGGATAATAAAGCCCATGTGGGGAGCAAGGCCCATCTTTATTTTTCACCATATAGTAAAGGACAATGTTTATGGCTCAAATTAATGTGCATTCTCCCATTGATGTCCGTGGGCCTTGTTACCTAGACGTTCTGGAAACAAAGCCTAGGAGCCCCATCCTGCAATTCTTATTTAATTACGTATTTCTTTAGAACTACATTCTCTTTTCATGGTTTGTACCTGAAATAAACATTGTTCCTGTCCCCTCAGCTCATTTCTCCTTCCCAAATGCCTTTATATTTTAGTCATTACGGGCCTTTCAAGTCATGGTGGGCCTTATTACCTACACGTTCTGGGAACAAAGCCTAGGAGCCCCATCCTGCATTCCTTTTTTAATTACGTATTTGTTTAGAACTATATTTTCTTTTCATAGTTTATACCTGAAATAAACATTGTTCCTGTCCCCTCTGCTCATTTCTCGTTCCCAAAAGCCTTTATATTTTTGTTCTTACGGACCTTTCAAGTCATGGTGGGCCTTATTACCTACACGTTCTAGGAACAAAGCCCAGGAGCCCCATCCTGCATTTCTTTTTTAATCACGTATTTGTTTAGAAATATATTTTCTTTTCATAGTTTGTACCTGAAATAAACGTTGTTCCTGTCCCCTCTGCTCATTTCTCGTTCCCAAAAGCCTTTATATTTTTGTTCTTACGGACCTTTCAAGTCATGGTGGGCCTTATTACCTACACGTTCTGGGAACAAAGCCTAGGAACCCCATCCTGCATTTCTTTTTTAATTACGTATTTGTTTAGAACTATATTTTCTTTTCATAGTTTGTATCTGAAATAAACATTGTTCGTATCCACTCTGCTCATTTCTAATTCCCAAAAGCCTTTATATTTTAGTCATTACGGGCCTTTCAAGTCATGATGGGCCTTATTACCTACACGTTCTAGGAACAAAGCCTAGGAGCCCCATCCTGCATTCCTTTTTTAATTACGTATTTGTTTAGAACTATATTTTCTTTTCATAGTTTGTACCTGAAATAAACATTGTTCCTGTCCCCTCATCTCATTTCTCCTTCTCAAAAGCCTTTATATTTTAGTTCTTACGGGTCTTTCAAGTCATGGTGGGCCTTATTACCCAAAGTTACCTTAGGAAGGAAAGTGACAATACCTCGCGGCCTTTGTACGGCAAACCGACGATCTTAGCCTTGAGCTGTTTGTCCTCGAAGAAGGGAAAATCGCCACCGTTGTACATCATGTCGACCTCGACGATTTTACCCGATGACGTCGTGAATGGTTTCCTGTGAGTGCATGTTAGCATTAACTAAATGAAGTTACCTTGTCGATAGAAGGAACCTTGAGTGATAACTACAAACCTTTTAGTGGCATCAGTCATGAAGTGTTGGTTCCACTCCCCTTTAAAGTACAGAGCAGAGGCGATAATGACGTTAGTCATCGGGCTTGGATTGTCGTCCAAAATCGACCTGATTTTTCCCATTGTTCTGTCTTTCACCCAGTTGTTCACGGTTTGTTTCGCTTCATTGGGATGGCCATGAAAATCCAAATTGATCACTTCGCTCTTGTATACGTCCTTGCTGATCTTCCGAAACTCGGAACGGATCGGGTAGCCATCCTACAATTGTATGCACGTACATTGTATAAACCGAATAAACAATATCTTATTATTGGCAAATTGAATTGTACAAACTTGGGAGAAATTTATATATTGTGCACTAAAATTAATTAACGCGACATGTATAGCGTTAATTAATTTTTTTAACTAATGCGACATGAATAGCGTTTTAGAGTGGGCATTTCAATTTCATTTATTTCTAATGATAATTCGAGAAGAATAAAAATTTAAAAAATACGTTCAAGCTGTCTCTTCCCGCCCTACGAAAATGTTACTTCTGGAGTTTTCAAATCCTGTGATTTCTTTCGAGCCAACTTACTTTCTTTTTTTTTTATTTACGTAAGTATACAACATTCTGAAAATGAATGAACTTGTTCATAGAAAGAGTATTAATTTACGTAAAATTCCATATCTTTGTACAGTAATTCGTAGAATCTTATTCTGCCAATTTTTGCAGTAATTTCTATAAAACTCAGAAGATAATCAATTAATTTTAGTTTAAGAAAGAAACTTTCGCATTGTTATAATGCCAGTAACAACGATGAAATAATATCTGTGACAATTTCTTAACCGTGAGTACCATCGTGAATTGTTTAACATTATTTTACGAAATTTCAGTGCAAATAGACTAACGAAACTTAGTAACTCATTAAAGTACTCTTTTATGAGAATATTCAAATGTATAATGTTATCCTAATTGCCTAATGTCAGTCTATATTGTAATTGGTAATTAATTTCATCTATTTTCACTTATGACAAGCAATTCATTAGTACTAAGTTCCTTTTCACTGAGATGCACTTTGTTGAAACGTATTATATCATTAGTCAACCTCTTCACTGAATATCTTAAGCGCTAATTAATACCTCGTTTCTCAAACGTGATGTTCAAATCGACTCTTCCTATCATTACGGCGATAAAATCTCTACATCAATTTGCAGTACATTGCACCTTGTAGAGAAATGACTCGATTTGCAATGATTCTACGAATTAAGGTGATATGAGTCAGCCTATATATCGACAGTCGAATTATATTGGATATTTTACCAAATGGCATACTCCACCTGTCGTGTTCGTACAATAAATATCAAGAAATCAAAGTAAAACTCCAGAAATCCTCTGGGTTCGTGCTTTCTGAGGCCCTAATTGACTGCAGAGGGACTCCCTGCGCCATTTGTGATTTCCAGGTCAATTAAATTTTCACTCCGAGACCTCGTATTCCCATCATTTTAGCATAGAAGCGCATACAACACTTTTTTTGCCTTTATCCCGTTCAAATGCGAGTTTATCGATTACCAGAGTGTTCTAAATTCTCGTAAAATTGTCCTGACCCTTTAGTTTCTCATATCAGAGCCTTCGATAATTGTATCTCGATTGAAATATGATAGCTCGACGCCATTTTCTTTCTGGTCTGGGCTAAGTTAAAGAATTTTTTCCAAAAATCCAAATTTTCAATGTGTCAGGACAATTCTTAGATGATCAATTTTATTTTTTTATTGTACGTTTTTTATTATACGATTAGATGTGTCAAAGTTTCGGACAGTTTGGTCCAATACCCTTAAAAATAAGTGTTGTATTCGAATCGACTGATTTGAAGGGGGTTTCACTTCACCTTAATTGTATACTGATTTTTACTGTGTAGCGTAACGTAAGCGTTTTGTGCATTAACCTGTACGAAAATTCCGCTGGCAAATGACGTCTGTGGCTTGGTGGAATTATCTGCATCTTTTGCATTGACAGCAGCTACCAGCACTCCGAACATCTGATGAACGATCTCGGAATTCTTCGAGATGTCCACCCCAGTCTCCAGTCCGAGGATTCTCGACACTTCGTCAAAGGTTCTGCCAGCAGAGCCCAAAAGGACCAAAGCCAGAGCACCAGACAGACCCAAAGGTGCGAAAATCACGTTCGTGTCGTTACCGATGGTTCCAGTTTTCACTATAGCCCGGTTCATGTCCAAGGCGAACTTCTCCACACCTCTGGTAATTATTGCGTTTACCTAGAGAACATATAAATGATTAGATGTACATTTGCAGAAATATTTTCTACTGTATCAAAGTCGCGTGCTCCTTTACTCAAACTGCATATCCTGTGACACATTTTCCCACGTGAAATATTGAGCTGATTGCATCCTTATACGGATTAACAATCCAACAAGATTTACCGGACTCGGTTCTCTTGGGTTCCATTTTCAAAAACTTTATGAGATAATTCTAAAACTAAGTAAAACCTACTTGAATATATATGAAATTACTGAACCAACAATTTCAGTGTACCACCCCTTATGCAGGGACTATAAATGTTAAAATGCTCGAACAATGTAAAAGAGTCTGGAAATGGAATATTACAGAGTCAGATGGGAAAATATGGAAAGTAAGTCCACCAACGATTGCAAGGGAATGCTGGCTTGTCTCGGGGCTAGCGCGTGGTTTTAGAGCATAAATTTAGTTGCAGCTAAACGTCACAGATGGCGACGTTGGTCTTAAACAGTCTGTGGAATAATGTATTCACAGGATTTTTACAGTTTTCCGTCGATCTCTTCATCATTACTTTACTGAAATGACATATGGAACGCTTCACTTAGAATAATTCTCAACGTGGACTGTAAAAGACCAACATAAATACAAATGTAGGTAATAGGAAGCGCCAGCTTATGTTCCCACTAGAGTATTCAAAATGACGTTCCCACCAAACACGGTGTCTACGCAAAATTACTGAACCAACAATTTCAGTGTACCACCCCTTATGCAGGGACTATAAATGTTAAAATGCTCAAACAATTTAGAAGATCCTGGAAATATGGAAAATAATTTCACCAACGATTGCAAGAGAATGCTGGCTTGTCTCGGGGCTAGCGCGTGGTTTTAGAGCATAAATTTAGTTGCAGCTAAACGTCACAGATGCCGACGTTGGTCCTAAACAGTCGTTAGAATAATGAATTCACGGGATTTCGACAGTTTTACATCGATCTCTTCATCAATACTTTACAGAAATGACATATGCAACGCTTCAGTTCGTATAATTCTCAACGTGGTTTGTAGAAGACTTCAACATTAATATAAATATCAGTAACAGGACGCTCCAGCTTATATTACCACTTGAGTATTCAAAATGACGTTACCGCCAAAAAGGGTATAGATGAATTTTAATTTATCGACCTGGATTAAAATTTTCAGCGCCTTTCATATCAACTTAACGATATAGTAGTCGCTCTCTACATGAAGCTCCTCAATATCAGTAGTTTAACAGTTCAAACTGATTGTCATATATGAAATACGTTTCATATTCCTTGTGGTACCCCCAACAGTTCAAACTGATTGTCATATATGAAATACGTTTCATATTCCTTGTGGTACCCCCAACAGTTCAAACTGATTGTCATATGTGCCCATAATTATGAAAGTGGTCTAAGTCAAAATAAAAAAAAAAATAAGTTTATCAGTTATTTCACGCCATGTTATTTCAAACGAAATTAATTCAATGTAATTTCGAAACAAAAAATATATGACTTAGACCACTTTCATAATTATGGGCACATATATGACATACGTTTCATATTCCTTGTGGTACCCCCTTCGTTAATCGAGGTCGGTAAAAATGACATACTTACATGGTTACCCCATGGTTGTTGCAATGAAAACGTAGATGATCCGGAAGCTACAGACGATGAAAATGCGGTGGAAGCCATGGGCACAACTGGCACTAAACCATGTTTAAACTGTCCAATTTGTTTAGCCTGGGCAGCAGCTGGACTAAAGTAAGGATGGATCGTTGACGTCTTCATGTTCTCCAATTGGTCCGGAAAGACTAGATTGGCCCTCGTCAGAGACAAGAACCCCAAAAGGACCACGACCGTCTTCATGGCTGTGAACATCCGTGTGACCATTAATTTTAATAATACAGTTAAGGTGATATGAAAGTCAGCCTATATATATCTGAGAGGTCAAATCGTTGGTGAAAGTATTCTCCGAATTGGGTGTACCGATTCGTTTCAAATTTTACCACGTGAATATGGATGCCCCGACGTAGGTCCTGAAACTTATCATGTTTCATTTTTCGTGAAAAATTTATTTACTTATCATGGGCTAGAACCAACATGGCGTGGCCGGTGCACGTCCATCTTTTACGCTTCTTAGAGACTTGCAATCAAAGACGAAGAGCTTCAGGACCTAGTTTGAACAATTTAGAATACCGTAGAAATGGAATATTACAGAGTCAGATGGGGAAATATGGAAAATACTCTCACCAACGATTGAAGGGAATACTGGCTTGTCTCGTGGCTAACACGTGTTTTAGAGCATACATTTAGTTGCAGCTAAACGTCACAGATGGCGACGTTGATCCTAAACAGTCTGTAGAATAATGTATTCACAGGATTTTTACAGTTTTACATCGATCTTTTCATCATTACTTTACTGAAATGACATATGGAACGATTCTGTTCGTATTATTATCAACGTAGACTGTAAAAGACTTCAACATGAATATAAATGTCGGTACTGGGACGCGTCAGCTTACGTTACCACATTAGTTTTGAAAATGACGTTTATATCGTTTAATACATTATTCACTTATCAATGCTCAGTTGAGCCTTGAAAAGTAAAAATATTTTTCGATACTCTACTCTTCAAGAAATCCATTTTTATTGAATATTTATTTACCGAGTGATGTGAGGAGATTTAGTATGCAGCTAAACGTCACAGATGGCGATATTGGTCCTAAACAGTCTGCAGAATAATGTATCCACAGGATTTTTACAGTTTTACATCGATCCTTTCATCATTACTTTACTGAAGTGACATATAGAACGCTTCAGTTCGTATTATTATCAACGTAGACTGTAAAAGACTTCAACATGAATATAAATGTCGGTACCGGGACGCGTCAGCTTACGTTACCACTTGAGTATTCAAAACGGCAAAACCGCCAAAAAGGGTATAGATGAATTTGAATTTATCGGCCTCGATTTAATTTCTCGGCGCATTTGATATCATCTCGATGGAACCGACCAATCGTTTCATTAAAGGCGAATGCCAAGGACGTCCACTCAAAGAGGTCTCTTCGGAAAAATCGAGCGTGACTATCACGAGCAGAGCGATTGTGCATGACAAGACCTTGATCCCGATCCAAGACCTTATCCTAACCTCAACTTGGCTGGCCTTAACGGTGTCTTGTTTTTTGCCACTTCCTATTCTTAACTTCTACCAGGAAGAGTGAAGACGTCATAGTCGGTGTTCCGAATTTAAGGAGAACTTTAAATATATTCCTAATTTGTATTAATTTTTTCCATTATATTGTAGTAACATTGTGTACTATAGTTATTCGCTATAGCGTATTCTCTGTACCACCGTAGTCATTTGCCGAACTGTATTATCTCGAACTAATGGGTAAAACGAATTTTATAAAAAACACTTTACTTCGGTATTTACACGCGAAAAAGTATGTTTATGTAACGAGTTATTTATCTCGTTTGGCATTTCGAAATTCGCAAGTGTTCGTGGGAATTTCGGACTTATACAACTCTGAATACTTATGCAAATAATGGTGACATTTTGGTGAAAGTGGCTTCCTTTTGAGAAAGATTGATGTACTGGGAGTGTGTATTTTTTGGATCATTGAGATTAGCCGAAGTACTTATTAAAATCAACTGACGTCACTCTTCTATATATGCCTGTAGAAGTGTGGGCGTGCTTCATGCGTCTTTCTTTTATCTACACCCTGAGGTGTTTACAATTATATTATTCTATACCGTTTACAATGCATGTTACAAATGACGTACTTGAAGTGTGTATTTTTTGGATCATTGAGATTAGCCGAAGTACTTATTAAAATCAACTGACGTCACTCTTCTATATATGCCTGTAGAAGTGTGGGTGTGCTTCATGCATCTTTTTTTTATCCACACCCTGAGGTGTTTACAATGATATTATTCTACACCGTTTACAATGCACTTTACAGAAAAAAATTATTCTGATGCTCAGTAGTAGTCAGTTCATCCAGTAATTAGATGAAAATACTTAAAATATTAATGAAACATCGCAAAAAATATCTCCTCAGACAAAACTCCTATTTCATGAACACTTTTGACTTATTTTCTTTACTAATAATTAATAGTTTTCATATACAATGACGAGTTGTCTTTTTCCAGCACTTTGACAAGGACAAATTCCAATCACGGTATTGACTGTCAATATCGGAATGCATGTTTCGTTACATGTAACACATCCTAAGTAGCATCATCTTGATTGCGTAAGTCACTTTCACATCCTGCTCAGACTCACAGCTAAAAACTTTTGCATACAATGTAATTAGGGACGAGTTAAGGTGAAGTGAAACACGGCTCGGAACTTGAACGACGTCGGTAAAGAAGATCTTTCTAAATACCTTCGTTGCCGACGCTCGTTTTTATATTGATAGCTGTATCGAATTATATTGGGTATTGTACTAAATGGCATACTCCACCTGTCGTTGCATACAATAATTATAAAGAAATCGAAGTAGAACTTCAGAAATCCTCTGGATTCATGGTTTCTGAGGCCCTAATTGACTGCAGAGGGACACCTTGCGCCATCTGTCATTTCCATGTCAACTATATTTTTTCTCCGAGACCTCGTATTACCATCGTTTTAGCATAACAGGGCATAAGACACATTTTTTTGCCTTTATTCCGTTCAAGTGCGAGTTTCTATATTACTAGAATGTTTTAAATTATCGTACAGTTGTCCTGGCACTAAAGTTTGTCATGTTAGTCTTCAATAATTGGATGTCATCAGGATAATTCCTAGGTACTCACGAGTCATGAGCCAACGTTTCAGACTGTTCGGTCCAATACCTTTTAAAGAAAGTGTCTTATTTGAATCGACTGATTTGAGGGGGGTTTCATTTCACCTTTAACCATTCTATATTTGCATCGTATACTCTAATAGTAACCTCCTAATGAAATGAATTTCAAGATTCCTTTCGGAACGTTCACTATAAATTTGCATTATCTCAGAATTCTGAACAGCCGTCTAAGAAGGTGAAGGCATCCATCNATCTCCGAAAGAAAAGTAATAACTTTCGATTGGTACGGAATTTTACATCGTATAATCTGATAGTAATCTAATAATGAAATGAATGTCAAGATCTCTTTCGGAACGTTCACTATAAACTTGCAATATTTCAGAATTCCGAAGATGAAGGCATTCTTCTCCGAAAGAAAAGTAATGACTTTCGATTGGTACGCAATTTTACATCGTATAATCTGATAGTAACCTCTTAATGAAATGAATTTCAAAATCCCTTTCGGAACGTTCATTACAAATTTGCAATATCTCAGAATTCAGAACATGGTCATTCTTCTCCGAAAGAAAAGTAAGAACTTTCGATTGATACGCAATTTTACATCGTATAATCTGATAGTAATCTGATAATGAAATGAGTGTCAAGATCTCTTTCGGAATGTTCACTATAAATTTGCAATATTTCAGAATTCAGAACATGAAGGCATTCTTCTCCGAAAGAAAAGTAATAACTTTCGATTGGTACGCAATTCCACGAACGGGGAGATAGAACAATGAACAATAGTAGCGCAATAATTGAAAAGGGTCGAGTCTATTTAGGGACGAGTTAATGACGTATTCCCGATAAAGCAATAACGGTCAAGTCAATTTACCGCCGCGATGTCAATGCTTGGGAAGACGCGACGATGCTCGTGACTCGCGTGTCATGGGGAGATCTTATCAAGACGGTGATAAAAATCGAATCGTGACGCGCCATTCTTGTGGGTGCATCCTGATGCATTCTGATGCGCGCTGATGCACGCTGATGCACTTTGCGCGATATCCACGGTGCAAAGCGACTGCCAATCAGTAATTTTCATCAAACCTGTTTTATTTTTGCATACCCGACGACCGATGATACAATTTGATATGACCGATCGGGAAACAGTGACATAATCCACAGGAATACTATTTTATCACCCTTGGACAGAGCGAGGCACCATTTCCGACGCGACAATCTGGCGCTTTTTAATTAATAACTTTTACGCTGTCTCCCGTTTTAAATGATTCATCCAAATATATTACGAAACTGAGCTTTAACCTTTTGAACACGGAGCCATTTCGACGTATGGGCGAAATTCGTCTGACCGTGCAGACAATATTGGACCAAACGTCCGGCGCCTTTAGGCGCTCTTCCTAGCCAAAGGGTTAAGGCCGCTCACCACTCCTGCGATTGATATAATGAAATACTATTGGTTATAATATTTCATGTAATCATCAATCATACATTATCATCTGAACCAATGTTTTCACACAATTGTAAAAAATGTTTACACTTTGTAGCGAAACAAAAAGCGGAAAGTTGTAACACCCTTTTTACTTTGCGCAATTTGGAAAAATGTAAAAATAACATCGTACGTGGCAATTAATAAAAGTTGAAGGAAAGCACGGAGTGTGAGGGAGATACGCGTTTGATTAAAACCATGGAAATTTACGATTAACCCTTTTGCTACTAAGAGCGTCTAAAGGCGCCCGACGTTTGGTCCAATATTGCCTGCACGGTCAGACGAATTTCGACCATATGTCGAAATGTAGTACGAAACGAAGGGTCCCATAAGGACAACAATTTTGAGCGTATTTCTCAACCGATCGAATTCGACCAGTACTCGTTTTAAAAATAAAATGTTGACGCGTGTTTATATGGGAGCAATTTTTAATAAGTGGTCATTTTCATATAATAAAAATGCAACGACACAATTTGCATGTTCTTTTAACTAGGAAGGAGGTGCTTAATTGAACATCGCTCCCATATAAACACATGTTAATGTTTTATGTTTAAAACGAGCACTCGTTAAATTCAATCGGTTGACAAATTTGCTCAAA